CTTTTTGGTTGTTTTCCCCCTTCAGGGGGGGAAACCCCTGTTAAAGGGAAATCCCAAAGGGGGGGAAAGGGTGGGGGGGCTTAAAAAGGGGAATTCCAAAGGGGGGGAGGGGGCGGACTTTACCCCCCCGAACCCTCCCGGGGGAAAATGGGGGGTTTTTTAAGTTGGCCCCCCCCCCCCCCCCCCTGTTTATATCATCAACGACAACAACAACAACCACAGGCAGGAAGCACGCTTCGCATGACTCGCCTGGCTGGCGTAGACGATCGGGTTGTCCGGCATGCTAGGGTCCGAGATGGTGAAGTTCTGCTGGCTCGTCATGAGGGCCTGCATCAGCTGGAAGTCCGGCTCCAGCAAGAGGCAGTTCGGCTCCTTCGTCTCTTCCTCATCGTCTGAGAGGATAGGCTGTGCCGATTCCGTGCTCTACACAAGGAGGCACCAGAAGCGAAGGGACACGTGTTTGTTACTATGTTGAGACAGCAGCAGTACGTGGGGGGTGCGCATTGCACAATGAGAGAGGTTGTGGCATGGGCTGCTCAGACACGGGAGACTGAAGGTCACCGCAAGCGGTATCAAGTTGCAGGCGATCAGCCGCGGAGGAACCGACCGCGTGAAGGGTGGATCAGCGCTACAGCGAGGGATGATTTGCCTGCTCATACTACAAAAAAGAAGGAGAAAACAAAACGGACGTACGGGGCTGTCTGACTGACTTCACCTTGCCGGAGAGCACGAGAGCCTTCTCGTTGATGCACTTCTCGAACACCGTGCTTGCCTCGTCAGGCATGTGCTCCTTTACCACCTGGGATTGATCGCCAAGGCAAGCGACCACGCATGAGACGGGAAACATCGACAGGCAGACCAACCACATTGTCTCTTGCGCCAATATTCAATGATGGGGTTTACATGAATGCCACATGAAGGGTGTGTACCGTTTCACCCGCATCGTTCAGGTACGCTCTTCAAGCGGCAATCAAGAGGGAAATATCTTCACTTCTACCTATGACCGCTGTCATGAAACGCGAAAAAACAAACGATGGTGTTCCCACTGCGAGGGCATGCGATGTGCCATTTCCTCGCCAGGTAAGCTACTGCTGTCTGCCAACACTTGTAATCGAGCAGCACCCACCAGCGATCTCATGCAAAGTTTTAAGGGAAAACGACACAACAGGGTTAAACCCTGGTCGAAAAGCGACACACCTGGGTACAGTCATTAACGGCAGTAAATGCACTCATATCATTGGTCAGCGCCCAATTTCACCCCGGTGCGTCCGCAAAGGCGCAGAGTATACCCTGCCGTGACTACTTTTCTCAGCAACTGTACCCTGTTTTCGGAAATGCACCCTGACCTGACGGGAAAAGAGACCCTTTCATCAATCATTTCCCCCGCAGGAATCTTCCTAACTCCTTTTCCCCTCCAACCATGGGATACCAAACGGCGAATCTTCCCGCCGAATAACAACCATGGCAACGGGGCAGGAATCAGTTTCCGCCCCTGCGAAACAACACCAACCATCAACTCTTCCGCTCTAAATCAACAATGGCCGGGCAACACCCCAGCACAATTGCTCCGTTTGGAAACATGCACACACGCGTACAATACCCCGTGGACTACTTCTTGCTGCAGTCTATGTGCGAGATGCACGGGTCACGCTATGAAAGCGGACCGATCCAGCATGGTTGACATGCATATATATGCATGTGCCAATGCGTGGCGCTGTGCTGGCGGCGAGCTCGCGCCCGCAGAGAGGGTGGAGGGGAGAGGCAGGACCAGCACACACAGACATGCCCTTGACATCAATCACGCACACACGAGTCTTATCCTTACTCTAGCAGCAGGACACTGCTGTGTCGTCCAACTCAATCACCCTCTCTGTCGGTAGAAAGAAGAAAGAGTGCTCGCGTTGTATTTCATCGGCCCATCCCGCTGAAGCCTGACGTCTTCTTACTACATTGATTGATTGGTCGGCTTGGTTGGCTGGTAAGCGTGACCGCTGCTGCTACAGCAGTAGTTCAAGCAAGAAACACATCGCAATTGAGACACAACAGACAACACACGCACGCACACACGGCACATCGCAATTGAGACACAACCGACAACACACGCCCGCACACATGCATATGCATGTCAACCATGCTGGATCGGTCTTGCTTTCATAACGTGACCCGTGCATCTCGCACATAGACTGCAGCAAGAAGTAGTCCACGGGGTATTGTACGCGTGTGTGCATGTTTCCAAACGGAGCAATTGTGCTGGGGTGTTGCCCGGCCATTGTTGATTTAGAGCGGAAGAGTTGATGGTTGGTGTTGTTTCGCAGGGGCGGAAACTGATTCCTGCCCCGTTGCCATGGTTGTTATTCGGCGGGAAGATTCGCCGTTTGGTATCCCATGGTTGGAGGGGAAAAGGAGTTAGGAAGATTCCTGCGGGGGAAATGATTGATGAAAGGGTCTCTTTTCCCGTCAGGTCAGGGTGCATTTCCGAAAACAGGGTACAGTTGCTGAGAAAAAGTAAGTCACGGCAGGGTATACCCTGCGCCTTTTCGGACGCACCGGGGTGAAATTGGGCGCTGACCAATGATATGAGTGCATTTACTGCTGTTAATGACTGTGTACCCAGGTGTGTCGCTTTTCGACCAGGGTATACCCTGTTGTGTCGTTTTCCCAGTTTTAACAGCCAGGCAAGGCTTCCATAGCAAAAGGTGTTAGCACTCACTATTATAGCGCAAATCCGTTTGCACAGGACCGCAACGACGTGTGGCCTGGCCCATGCTTATCACGCTGCTGCAAGGCGTGTTCGATATATGCGGAATTTCGAGTACCTGTCTGAGGGCCAGGTTCTGCTTCCGCATGGCGAGGAGCTGCTCCTGCAGACACTCCAACATAAACTTCTTGCGAATCCGCGATCGCTTCGCGTGCTCACGGTTCCGCTCCTGCAGGTGCGTGGTGGAGTCGGCGGCGTGTGTGCGGATGGGTGACCACAAGGGGAAAAACACGGAGCACAAAATCGGAGCAATGGGGTATGAGCTTTGTCGGTACGTGTGTGATTCATTGGCGCCCGGGTCCACCTTACGCAGCGCCGGCGTGGCCAGCTACGGACTACTGGTGAAATACGAATCCCAGATATCTTGTCCCAGCCGCACGACGGGCTCACGTGTACCGTACCCGGAATAGAGGACTGCTGCCAGTCGCCGCTCAGACGGCACGTTTTAATTGTGAACACACGCCTGAGGTTTCAGCAGGAAGGATTCAACCGGCGTCTATATAGCTGGCTGCTCCACGAGCCGTTGATGTTCACGGGGAGCGATGCGGCTACCTGGAGAAAATCCCAACCCCACAACGGCAACACCGTGTGTGTGACACCCTCCCTCGCCCGCTCCCTTAGTCTCACCCTCCTCTCCAGCTTCTGCTGCTCAGACATCGACCTACGCGCATCGCCTCCCAGCCCGCCCCAGCCCATGTCGTTCCGACCGCCCCAGTCTGCCGCTCCGGCAAGATTCGAGTCGCTCAGCTCCCGCTTCATGCCGCGGTGGGCGCTTGCTGCTCCAGCGGCCACGCCAATACCAATCCCTATCCCGCGGCTAGGCTTCAGCCCCGCCGCGCTCGCACCTGCCGCCCCCCCAGGTGCTGCTGCTGCTGCTGCTGCTGCTGCCGCTGTCGCCGCTGCTGCCGCCGCTGCTGCGGTTCCTGCTTGTTGTGCTCGTGCCGCCATCGCCCCCAACCCAAGACCACCCTGCCCGCTGCCTGACCCTTCCACGTCAAGCGTCTCGCCGGCGCTTTCGTTCGAGGATTCCCCGGGCGCGGGCGCCAGCGAGGTTCCCCCTTCCGCCCCTCCGAACGCGAAGTAGCAGTCTGTTGTGCAGGTCCAGAGCGTGGATGATTCGCGGCTTGCATCACATGTACAGTATTACTTACACACGGAGTGACGGCCTACAGCATGTCGAGTAGGCGCACTCACGTATACAAACAACCCGTCCGAGGCACCCCGCAACACCGCCGGCAATCAGCCTCGCGGCAGTGAGAGCTGGCGTGACAGGAATTGCATAGTCATGCTCATCATCTCAAGCTCTTATCGTACAGCCGTTGAAAACTACAGGTAAGACGACCACCGACGAGGGAAGGAACGCCTGAATCTTCCTCGCGATAAAACGATAAAATGAGGAAGGCACCCCAGAGGAAAAGTGGACAAACAAAAACGGCGTGGGCTTCCCCGGCTCCTGCGTCCAAAACAACTCACGGTCAAGCGTCAAGAGGGGTAAACACTGGCGTCCAGAATTAATGGGATGGTACGCGTAACACACAAGGCGCATGAGGCAACGTGCAACTAATATCTAGTTTTCGCACAACCCTCTATAGAACCGACAACAACTCTAGCGCTGTCCTCCCAAGCGCAAGTCCTTAGCCGTCGAGATAGACGCGACCTCGACCTGCCTAAAGGTACAACTCAAAAGACATTCGGACAGCTTGCAACCAGCGTGGCATGGAGTCCATTACTGCCGGAACAACTTCGTTCCTACTCTTATGTTACAAATAGAAGGTAGGAAGTCCATGAAGTTGTAATCTATATCTACCGCTACGGTTTTCGTGTTTGGTGATGGAACCAAATCATTGGCAAGGGATGGGTGTGTCAACCAGTCCACTACTGCTTGCTGTGGTGCCTAAGATATACCCGCGAAACCATTGCGACGAATCGATGCCTTGCTCAAAAGACTACGGATAGCAGTTGCGAGTACGAGTAACCCAGCACATGCAAAGAGCCAGCTCATACGAAACGTCAGCGTACGGGAGTCTAATTGAACCTATATATCCCGAATTTTATGTTTGTATGTAGGCAAAAGCAAGTTCTTACCTGAGAATACTTCGTCTAGATCGACTCCTTTCGTCAGCACAGGGCCCGCTGACCCAAACACGGGAGACACCATCTATTGTCGTGTGCGTGTTTCGCAGGAGACGGCGGGATACACGGAGATTTGATGATGGGACGTGGCGGGCGGCACCGCATGTTAGATCGACCTTCAATGCCACAACGTTGTGTGCCAAACATGCTCTCTTTGGACACCTTCGATTTCTTCACGGCTGTGCGCAACGCCAGCCGCCTACAATGATGGCTCGCACGCCAGCTATGCTGTGATCGCGCCATCAACGATGAAGTACCCGAGGTATCTACCTACGCCTGTGCCGCCTGTGCAACATGCGGCATGATGTACTTTCGGTCTCGCCATCTCTTTGACACTGCTACATCCTAACGCTCTGGATACAGCACGGTCAACAACTATACTATACTATCGCCATGGCGGCGAACTTCAAGTTCCTCACATCCTCCATTTGACTTTGCCTGCTGGTCGCCGCCGCTTGCTGTGTGCGAGGAGGAGTGGATAAAGTCCGTCTCAGGGAGAGTCAGGCAGCAGGAGTGGTCTGCCGGAGCCGTGAGGCGGATTTGCCGGGAGGGGTGTAAAACAAACGACGGGGCCCCCTCTGCTTTGTGCATTGTTGGTTGTGTATCAGTCAGTTCTTGACAGCCTCATGGCCTGTTTGAGTTGCACGCGACCACGACACGCGACATGCGACATGCTTGCACAACTAGGCAAATAGAAAAAATGTTCTCTGGACTTTTGTGCCTAACCCGTGGAGCGGCGTCCGATTGGTGCCAGTCGACTTGTTGACAACATGATAGCATTGCGTATACACACAGTAGTAGTGTCGAAAGGCAACGATCTTTTTTGCGCGAGGCCTCTGGCAAGGGTGTGGCCGTGGGTCCCCCCAAAACTGTACTGGACCCTTCTGGTGTGTGGCGCATCCTGCCCTGTTCTTCTTACACGATTCGCCACGGCTCAACGCATATTTCCCCAAAAGAAGAGTGATGGGACTCATCCGCGACCAACTGCTGTGATACTGCTTTTGTAGTCTATGCATCATTCAGAAAAAAAGAACGTACATACAGCACGTATTTTAGTCTACACTACGGCCGTCTTCAGCAAGATCTCCTTCAGTTGGCAGCTACATCGCTGGGATAGGTTTACGGCTGTGCCCAGCGAGCCCGGGTTGCTACGACTGGAACCCTTGGCCAGCCTACGGCTTACATGTAGACTTCCCACGGGAGCTACAATATGCGTCTGTCTGTCTTCACGAACAACCCAACATCCCCAGTTGTCCAGGGGCAAACAAAACACAGAGAGACGTAAATTCTCATCTGGAACCATAGCCAATCGTTGGGATTCACTCGGTCGTTCATTTGCAATTGGCCAGAGGTGCAGTGCGGAATGCGCATACTGTAGATTGAGCATCATCACAAGGTTTTATAGAATGTCGGGGTGGGAGGTGGGAGGTTGGGGGGACGGAATGGATACTTTTGACAATGTTAATATTTACCCCGCAGAGGCGGGGTTCTCTGTGGCGCGTGTATCCTTGGACCGTAGCCAGCCCTGTCCTGTTGGTTCTACTATTACAACCGCGATGACGGCTTTGCTCGGATGTGGCGTGCAATCTTACGTTACGGCCGGGGCGTAGCTCGTGCTCCCACATACATCTGGAACCTCTGGCCAACAGTCATTTTGTTCGTGCGCGTCAATCACATGATGATACGGTACATACGAGCTCAGCTGCAACAAAGCGCACTAGACTAAGAACTAAAGATATATTTTACATACTGCTGCGTACGGTAGACTCCACTTCCTACATCCACACCCCGTTATTCTAAGCAAGGATAATGAGCTCCTCGGGGGTCTTGGACGTGATACTCAAAACGACCTTTTCCACCTCCACCTGCCCGATTTGTTCTAGGTCAAGGAATCTTGTTGCCACCTGCGGAAGTATTGAGATTGTCCCGGAGATACATAGGGGGGTGGAAAACATGCAAAGGAGGAACCGTTGTACGTGGAGCTGACTCGTGACGCGATTATCCCTTTGGACCACGCTAATCCAAGGAGTGGGATATCAATACCCTTCGTGAGGAGGGCCTAATCTGAAGGCTGACTCCCCTCACGAACACTTCAGTCCGATTTTCAATCGTCGAGCACTTTTCGACGTACTTACCGATGCTGCTGCTGCCGTAAACGAAGACTTTTCCACGAAGTAGGGCACGCCGAAATTGTGAAAGCACGATTATGCGTGATATTCACATTCAGAGAGCTACATTGCATCAGCCCTTCTTTGCCACCTGAATAAAGTCTGCCTTGGACGCGCAGGCCCAGCAATCCGGCAGCGCCCCTTCCTCCGCAGACAGTCTGTTCATTGATTGCATCGCACGGGCAGCAGTGAGGGCCCAGCTGAAAATAAAGTGCATCTGCAGAAAGACTTCGTTTCGTCATGATCAAACCTGATGAAAACATGCTAAAGGATTCAGGACAGACCCCTGGGCGTGCTCGTCCACGGAGTGCGCACAGTCAACCGTACCTTAGCAAGACTTCCACCACGTCTTCAGGCATGACCATGGCATCGTCAAGGCCTTCTGTGCCCACGTGCTGGATGGAAGCCAGAGCATCTTGCAGACGGAGCGCTTGTAGTTTGGTAAACACCCCCAAGGTCTTGGTCGGTGAGCAGAATATCAAGAATGCCCCACGAAAGTGGTATCGTCCACAACAACGGCAGTGAGAAAGTGAGTGCAATAATCAGAGAATGGAATTGACTTCTGCTCGAGTTTCTCAGATTTTTGAGTCAGATCCACCGTACAGTACGGTAGTCACCCCTTGCATTTTCATCCAAGGGCGTGGAAGAATTATTGCTGAATTCAACACTTCAAGTGAGGCCTACGGGCAAAGGGAAAAACTTACCTCAGAGACATCGGGGCGCGAAACATTCGGGGTTGGAACTGGCACCAACCGGAAGCTCTCATCCACACTAAACGATTCGCCCTGTAAAAAAGCAGCGCCATTGCAACAGAACACGATGTGGAGCAGAGCAGATTGCCTAGATCATCGTGGCAGCAAAATTGACGACCCAAAAATCATACCACATATGCTGTGCTTCCAGGTACCACTTGCGGTGCTAGTAAGAACTTTGACTGTGATGTGGCTGAAAGGGACGGCAAGGTCGGTGCGTAGCACCTCACCTGTATTTTCCATTCGTGCTCGATGGCGGACTGCTCGTCAATGCATTCTTCCGCCATTGTCATTGCGGCCTCCACAGCTCGTTGCTCCTCAGACACACGTTCATCCAGGCAGCGTTGCAACTCCCCATATACCTGAGCAATATCGTGAGAAAGTCTCATTTTTTACTTGGAACACTCCGTCTTGGAACAGAATCTTCATGGGGATTACATTATTGCACTTGTCGGTAGCGATAGTAGCAGGTATGGTGTAGACAACGCCAACCGAAGTGCAAGACGTGACTGATCTTCGTTTGCAAGCTGTTCAGAGAGTTTGATACCGAAGCCCAACAATCCACGTATTTCTACCTCAGTTCGGCGTGAGCCAATTTCTCCCCGGTCGCTTCGTCTCAGATTGCAGCATTTTTTTTCTCACCAGGTCAGCCTTCTTCCGGATTTCCGCTGAAAGGGATTCTCCCACCCTAGAAAGCAGCTGGCATCTTGTGGTCAGAACCCCAGCCTGCGCCCACACTGCTCGGTGGAGCAACAACGGTTTGGGTGGCGGTGCCCCTTGCACTGAACTCGTGGCAGAACCAGCAGCACCGTCACCAGCCTGAGATGCGACCTCATCCTCGGCAGGAACGGGAAAGCCCTCCGACCCCCAGGCATCAGCGTAGGCCATAACCACCGACAGGGCGGCCTCGAGGGGTGTCTTTGCCTCCTCCACCTGACACACACCAATGCCGTGACATAAGAAGTGTTCACGCGAGGGAGAAAGTCTCTCAAATGGAACTTGATTATTCGGAGAATGACTTAACAAACCAGGTCGGAACGAACACGACTTGTGCGAATAAACAGTGAGAGTACCCTCAGTTTCCAAAGGTGCCTCTCGAAGGTATGCATACCAAAACAGCGGTACACAAAGCCAACGTTGACACACATAGGCAGGAGGCATGGTCGATAACACCCGAAGAGCAACATCATCAATGCTGAGGCACTGGGAGAGGGAGACAAGTTGTCCGGTGTATTGTGAAAACCCACGTGCTGTAGATACTCACAAACGCACCTCCACATCCGCCTTGCGGGCGGATTTACTTGCTGGCTTTTTGGCCTTTTCCGCCTTCCCCTTTCCTTGTGCAGCAGCACCGCCGGTCTTCTCCGCCTCGACCGCAACCTGTCGGTGATGGAAAACACACGTACGGATTAGCCCCCGCACTTAAGAACTTGGCAGTCAAGAAACTGATATAGCCTAGAAAAACTCCAAATCAAATACTTTTTGACTTGTCAAGTTGTGAGCTCGGTTAAGGACCCTACACAACAACCTACATAGCGGTCACTTTGTAGCATGAGCCTAGGAACTACTGTAAGAACCCCAGCCTCGGCCAAACCAAGCGGTCCGTAAGAGCGGGCGCTTGCTGTATGTCTTAATCGTTGGTTCAACATGTCTCCCGTATAGGCCCGATTCCGTTTATTTTGCGCCAGTTTTGTTAGCTTGGCCGAGGTGCACTGTCAGGACGATTTGTTTTTCAGTAAGAGGCGTCGAACGCAGAAAAAAACCGCTCGCATCTGTTCCAGCCTTAAACATTTCACGCACTAGGCAAGATTTAGCAGCAAGTGGATTTAATTGCTCCTTTCGTCAGACGTTGGCGACTGCACGAGCTTCTCCCTCGGCACGACCCCAGGATGTGCGAAAGATTCGTCCAATAATCATGACTTGTTTGGGAAACGTATGCTAAGGGAATTAACAAAACGTCGTTAAAAATTCCAATCCAAGCTCGCAAGAATCGTGCCTTCACCTGAGGCATGTCTCCAGCAGCGATGACATCGACCAGGGAAGCCAACGCCTCAATTGGCGGCCAGGGGGTTGTACGGAGGGCTCCAAAGGAAGGGTCCCCCGACGGATCGCCCTTGTTTCCTTTACCACCCTTACCCTCTTGGCCCTTCTTCCCCCCCCCCTTGCCATCTTTATCTTTCTTCCCGGATGATTTCGGGCCGGGTGTCTCCTTCAGCGGAGCCCCTTCAACTTCCGGTGGCAGCAGTGGTGTCTTGGATAAATGTCAAGTTCGTCAAAGTGAGCGGGAGTTTTGGGTGGGCTAGAGTGCAAGCGTTTCCTATTATGGTCCTTTTCTATTTCATAGCGATTTCCACTCTGCGGTAAACATCGTAGTCTCATTCAACCATGAAGCAGACGGCATCCCCTTCCATTTCCCACCCATCCTGCCCGCGATGTACTATACGTAGAATAAGACAAACTTTAAACAGGTCTGTGCCGTGCCACATACGTATGAACGACGGTGCGCCACCTACAAAAATCAATCCAACCATGATGATGCGAGAACCCAGGAGCAAATGTGCGAGATTGGGTCGTTGAGGTGGAACATCAGGCACGTACAGGCACAACAACGAATAAAAATTGACAAATAGTGTACCAAATGCTGTTCCACTCACCAAGACCACCGAATTGTCGTTTGTGACCTCCTGCACTTTGGTTTGGTAATAGTCGTGCAGCAGCAAGACGCCTGCGTGGAAGCGCTCAACCTCCGCCTGCATGAGCAAGATCATGTTGTTCGACACCGTCCCCTGCTGCCGCTCCACCCACCCTGCCCGGCACAACAGGTGTTCGTTGGACATGGCATGCGTTGAACGTCGGTCGGTGGCATCCCTTAACAACCCACGCACACATAGCCATTGTTCATCGTTGATGCGTTAGGCTGAAACGCTGCGTCATTCAGAGGTGGAGCTGTCTTGCAGAACCTCGAATTGGCTTACCATCTCCTTGGATGGTGCCCAGAACCTTTGCCGCGCGCTCTTTCCGTTCCTCGACGTCAAACCAAAGCTTCGATCGGCAGTCTTCTGTCCTTAGCAAGAGCTCCTTGCGCGCTCGGTCGTCGAATCTCAGGTCCTGTCAGAGGTTTAACGATAAAACCGTCACACGCGGAGACCATGGGTCGCGCGGAAGATGAGCGGTCGTGGAAAGCAGCACCCATTTTTTGAACGTCCTTACAGCGTGCGTCTTGCTTGCCACATGCAATTCTCCGTGCAGCAACCTCTTAGAAAATGAAGGGAGATCTACAACAGCATACTCGACATTGATGTCCGACCCACTGGTACCCAGCGGACTGGCTGGAGATCAAGGGTGTGTTTGTTTCCCCACAACATCTTCTACTTAGGTTCTGAAGTCGCAGCGTGGCAACATGGACAACGATGGGTACCTGATCGAGGGCGTTGAAGGAGCTGCAGAACTCGGCTAGGTGGCTCTGCTTGTCGTCAGGTCGCCGGAGGAACGCCGAGAAAGTGTCCCGAAGGGACCGTACGTGACCATTGATCGACAAGCGCTGGTTTCGAAGCTCACGGAACACCTGTTTCGTGAACGAAGACGCCGTACAGTAGTACAGCATTTTGTCGAAAGAACACGAGCAATCTTCATTGAGAGAGGGTCCATCGTGGGGACATTTCCGACGGGTAAGCCATCTCTCCGAAACAACGAGTGACGTTGGGAAACTATTCGGGTGGAAGCAGTCTCAACGGCCGAAAGAGTGCCCTCCACCCCCCTGCTATACCGTTTCTCACTCGTCGCGCCGTGCCCTCGAACTGCAGCTCGGCTGTCCGCCAGTGCCCCGATAGCGCCGCGGCCAAACCACCCGCCAGAAGCCCAACCTCCTTGCCCTGTTCCTGAGCGCTACGCGCGGATTCGACAGTGCTCGAAAGCGTGCTGCCCGAAACGCCATTCCCAAGCGCGCTCGAACCCTCGTCGGTGCTTGCGGCTTCCTTTGGCTGTTGCTCCGCGTGAGTCCCCTCGCCGTCGACCACGCCGTCCGTGACGGATTTTTCCCTCGCGCTGGCCCCGTCGGGACCGTCGTGGTCGTCGTGTCGCTTGTCCCCGGCATCCTCACCCTCGTCGCCATGGTGAAGAGCGGCATAGTCGCCTGTCAGATCACCGCCTTCGCTCTTGGTATCGCGTTCCCCAGCCTGGGGAGTTGAAGAGTCATTTCAGTCGCCCGGGGAAAAAGCAGAGGACGAGGGTTGGAAGCCAAACGTCCGTGTAGAAATGGGTTCATAGTAAACTGTTTCAGATTGACTATTGTTCCAGGAGCCGAAAAAATGTAAAAATCGGCCCTCGATGCGATACATAGCTGGGGTGTGCGCCCTTGGCGTTTCATACGTAAGTGTCGTGATGATCTTTCAAGAGAGGGGTCGCAACGTCGGGTGCCAGCACACAGTGCTTAGCTCACAAGCGCCGATATGTAGAATTCTGGATTCGTTTGTGCTCTTGCGTGTGTGATGTGCGACACGCGAAGGTGTCGTCACTCACCTCCTGCACCATCGCCACGACCACGGCGTTCAACTTTCCGAACAGGGCGTCGGGGGTGCTTTCTCCGCTGTCCACTATCCTTAGAGTGCCAAACTTCTCCAGGAAGGCCTTCAGCTCCTCGGAGGTTTGTTCCTGTCGTATCACGAGCATAAGTCCTTGAAGATTCAATGGTCGCAGGTTACGATCTTGTGAACTACTACAATACTACTGCTAGGAAACTCAGTTGAGAAAATCTTCAAATGTTCTCGCTGGCCCGCTCTCCAGATGAGAATGATGCCCTTCCATTATAGTTTTCGGCGGGGTACGGCATGCGGATATCCACCCCAGCGGACCGAATTGCCAGCAACATAATTCCGAGTTGAACTAAATGTAGGCCAGCACACACCATATTTCTAGGGAAAGCGAGCGTATCTGACCTGTGTTGCAACTTGAAGAGAGAGCTCAGCTGACGCGTTAGCCGGGTCCTCGGGGTGCACCAGCCTCTCTTTGCAGACGACATCGTACTGCGGTAGAGTGCCCTCGAAGTGATAACTGCACCAGATCGTGTAAGTGAATGCGTGACTAAGGACAAGAGGCGTATTCCGCCCTAGATATCGCTATCGCAAGCAAACTCTCAACTTGCATTACTGCAGAAGACACCTCCTCAAGGTCGTTACTAGCTATAAGAGTTCAGAGGCATATTCAGGCAGGTGCTGTACATGGCCGCCCGAGCCAGCATGTAGTACGGCGAACAGTAAGGCTAATGTCGGGGCAGATAGCTTCAAACGGCTGTATTCTCTCTAAGATAAAATGGGAGGGGGGGCGATACTCACGGTTCGGCAGTCACCGGGTCGAACAGCCTGCCTAGGCTTCGCTTGAGGATTACGTCCCGTGGAGCGTCGATGTAGATCGCCAAGTCGATACCGGACATGGGAGTGCCCTGCAGGAGATCATGTTGGAGGTGCAAGCTTCAAAGCCCGGTAAAGACAACCCGACCCATTCGCAGGCGTTGCCAGCACAAACGAACCCCACCGGTGCTTTTTTTTAGCCAGGGCAGCGTACTGGTTTCAGAACCCCCCACTTTCAATATTGTATACTCCAGGTACAGTTTTTCGTGAGATGATAACCTTGTTTCGGATTTGAAGGGCTAAGAGGCCCTTCCAACTGTGGGTTTACATCAATCACTCCATCCGGATTCCTTCAAGGGACGAAACCACCGGCCTGCACAAAAATAGTTGGAAACACGGAGGAGAGATTCAACAGTTTCTGTTCTGAGGCTACGTGGCAAAAGCCAGTGGGACAAAGCTGTGCGAGCTACTAAGGGCATCTTCACTCTGCAGGCCCCCACATACCTTGTCCTCCGTAGCTTCCGACGAAGGGGAAGCTGGCGCAAGCTTGGAAGCAGCGTCTTGCCTTGACGGTACGTAAGCACTTTCGTCGTAGCCGGAAAGGTACTTCTCGAGCACGGCCGCCTGACATCGATGGCAACACACATCGGCGAGCGTCGAGGCACATTCCAAAGTGCGCAATGATCATTGAAACAGCCATCGATCTAACGTAGAGAACAATATAGGCGTGGACCTCCACCAAATCTAAGCATATACCGCGTTGATCAGTAGAACGATTCAATCACGGTAGCAAACAGCTTTTGTATGTGCAGGTTGCCCGAAGTCCGACACGATGGTATTGAGGTGATGTACATTACCGTGATTGCACTCAGTTAGCCTCACCTGTTCGGCCGTGCCTGGAAAATCGTCAATTATCCAGCCCATGTACTCTGCTCGATCATCGCCCGATAGCATGACTCCTCCGACCTCGGTCGACTCGCTTGCCTGGGCCTGCATGGCTTGATTTTCCTCCTCGATCTCCCTGATGGCCTCCACAAGCAGTGCCGCGTACACCTATTGTTTATGGCGGTGTGGAGTGAGTACAGCCTCAAAAGAAGCGTACAATAAATCAAATCCCATGTTTCCAGAGAGCGAGCAACGCAACGAGTCTGATCAAACAATGAGCAAATTGTCTACGTGCCTGAAGGCGCTGGCAGAGCGCTGATTTCCAAGGTGACAGGCACCCGATCTCCCTCGGGTAGCAACACGAATACCCGTTGACGCACTTTTTCTTGGATGGTGTTTCCGCACGACTAATTGACGCATATATAACAATCCTACTACCGGTAGACCACCACCTTGTCCGAAATCGTGCCCCCCTGCAATAACGCCGAGCTGGCTTCTTGCCCCAATGCTTCCTCCCTCGAAAGAGTCTTGCGTCCGGCTGCCATCGCGTTTGCTGCGTTATCCATGGCTCTTTGCGATAGCTCTTCCGCTGACAGGACCTAAGCAACGTGACATGGCGACAAAAATGATCCGTTAGTCTCCCACTTCTACTCGCCCGGAGATAACCTTGATACGTTGCTCTCTTAGACGCGCTGGTTAGTAGTGGAATATTCTTCCCCTTTCGACCACCCGCCGCCGTCCGTCTCTTGCAAAAGCCTCACCTTAAGGCAGTACCTGTCAGCCAATCGGATGGCCTGTTCGCTCTTCCCAGTCAGGGTTCTCCCACACATACATATGCGCAAGCTGAACGTAGGGACCTCGGGAGGGGGTCGAGGCGGCGGCAGCGGGTTGGCCGTCAGTGCCGTTTCGATCACGCACTCTCCAAGTCCGTGGAGCGGGTTCGCTGTGTTGAGGACGTTTTCCTCGCCGCCGGCAATCGATGAAGGTGCGGAAGGCTCTAGCGAGCCCGTGGGATCGACGACTTTGGCATCATCGCCGTCCTGACAGACGCGCCGAACAGGTGAACGGGTGCGTCCGGCGCATCAGGCACATAGCACAAACGCACAAGAGGGACACAGGGCGCCGTGGTGGACACAGGGCTCAAATGCAGTGCGCCGGTTTCCACGTTGAATTCTACCGCACCGATGATATGTAGCCCGCCGACCCAGTTTCGTTCTCAACTGTATGTTGGTCGCTCAATGTACCCACTCACTTCCATGGAGGACTTGCTTGATCCAAGATCAGCTTGGGTGACATCGGCGACGCTTGCCGCCTGAGCGGAATCTTTGGGCCCCGGACTTGTGCCATGTTTACCCCACCAACCGGTCTCGTTGATGTAGTCTTCAAATTCGCAGCCATCCAGAAAGTATGCCACCTGGGGTACAAAGAACTCCGTTTTAGACGTTGTCGATCGGGTTCGACCATGCAGTGCATGAACAAGACCTACCATTCTAGACAGCATCCATCGTACTGCGGTAATCATAAACAGGAAGGCGATTGCCTTGGGTATATCGGCCGTGTTACAATGCCGTTGGTTTGACTATTGGCTTGGGCACACACGGGCCGTGTTAAATATAAACCAGCGTGCGACGGATCGACGGCGGCTTACCGTTTCTTTCGTCTCGTCGTCTTGACCTGGCGCGCAAAACTCATTGATTCTTCCCTCTGTGAGGGGCAGCAAAGAGGTGCACCCCCACTCTTTCGCAGGCTCCGCGACGGTCGTACCCATGTGCAGCAGGGGACCGCCCCTAGCCATGCCGTATCACGTGCAGCCGTCGGGAGTGGATCAATTTGTGCACTTAGCTGTTGCGTGTTTACCGAAAATGAGGCCGTGGTTGCATCCACATCTTTGTTCGATGGAACCAGCGATGAAACAAACTCAGCGAACACACTTGAGGGCGATTCATTTTTTCGGTACTGGAGGGGCCAAGGCGAACACGGCAACGGCTTGTTGGCGCGTTGGTCGGTCTCCATGCGGTGAGGACAGCGAAACGACCTCTACAACCAAAGTGCCGCACCTCCAACCCGAACTATTGGGTGGATCGGTTGCTGTGCGCACGCACCTGATGAAGCTGCATTTCATGTCTTTCCACTGAAGACTAGGCATCGGATCCTGGTCTGGTGACAAGGCACCTGGCTCTCGCCGGTGCTCGCTGTACGCCCTGTACCTCACCACTTCTATCGATAGCGCAAACAGACCCTCGAGAGTCTCTCGGCACATTTTCTCGATCCTGCATCGGTGTCAGATGACACACATCGGAGGCGGGATATATGAACGACGCGGCTCGTTCGGAAACCGGATTGGGAGACCAACGTTCAACCCCTCGTGCATATGTAAACATAGGCCCATGTCCGTTGCGTTGCTCGGCGCCTGTATCGGCAGCATTAAACAAATGAACCCTTTTGTGTGGACCGGAACGACCTGATAACAGCGCTCATGCTTCACCTTGAAAAACAATGGAAAACGAAACAATGAAACCACAGTAATAGTTGTTAAAAGTGAGATGATACGAGCGTGTTTCGACCTTGAAAATGGAGACGGTGGGTATTCAACGCCTCACACATTGCCGTACAAAACAATGTTGAAACCCAAGGTACGAGGCTGGTTGGAAAAACGGGTCTAACCTCGTCGCGGCTGCGGCCGCTGTCGTCACTGCAGCGGCCTCACACCGCTCGCCTTGCGCTCTCACCCCCAACTCGTATTCGCTGCGGAAGGAATCAAGACTTGCCTGATCGCGCTGCAAACGTGGGGACGAAGGACAGCCGACACTTTCCCATGGGACACGGGCACTCCACACAGAAACGCTCAGAATCCGTGGGAAATATGCTTGTTCTCCACCGATCAGGATTGGTGCTAAGCTGGGCGTACGGAGCCTCTGGACTCGTGGTCGAGATCTATGTTGGAACACTTAATTTTCAACGGTCGACGGAAGATGAGAATTGCCACCATATTCCAACGTGGGGGCTACGTAGAACACGCTCTCTGGCCCTGAAAATTCTTTGTTTTGCTTCTTCGCACCTTGAGCAGGCCTTCTGCGTCCACGTCTGCCCTCGCGGCGTATTGCTGCTTGCGATACTCTCGGTTTTCGGTCATGATCGCCTTGTACCTTCAGGATTACGGCAATGTGGCGTGCCAACAGAGCAGGAGTATGCTGGGCGAAATCCAATGTCGAAATGACCCATGGCTTGGTTCTTCCGTTCTACATGGATCGCCAAATTGACACTGTCGCCATTGTAAAAAAGAACGTGGGCTTGCTCCGGGGCTTTCATATCAACAATATCGCCCACTGCTTCAACCAGCAGAGGGTGACTACGAACGCAAGCAAGGCCTTCTTGAATGACTCAGCAAAAGTAGACGTATGGAAGGCGTTTTTGATTGACTGTGTGCAGAGCGCCCACCTGAAGACCGACTCGAGCTGCCGTTCGACAAGCTCCTCCGCGTGGCACCTCTTCATTAGCTTCTGCTTGAGCGCGTCCGCTGCCGCCTGGAGATGCTCGTGCGATTGAGATTCCTCTCGTTCCGTGATAAACCTCCGCCTGGGGCAATTGGTTGTGGGTGAAACCCGGCACACCGATAGAGTCTACAGTAGTGTATCTTGACGGTGACCGTAGCCGGCCCTTTTGTCCCCTACAGTCCTACAGTCCCTTCTCTGTACGAAGCTCCGAAAAGCACAAACGTTAGACGGTATCATTGGCCACCACCAGGACTCATACATTGAGTCATAGGGTGGACCTGGAAAAAATGGCCAATGACACAAAGCGCTAACCTACCAACAAGCTTCGCCATGCTCTGCTGCCCCTCTAGCAGGGCTCTCGACTTTGCCACGAGGCAGGCCAGAAGAGAAACCTACCGGTTGCCGCTCGCTGCGCACCTTCGTTTCTCTCTCGCCCCGATGCGCTCCTCAGATCTTTTCGAGTGGAACTTGGCCATTTGCCATTCGTACCCTTTTTCCAAAGCTCTAGCTTCGAGGAAGCCCCGGGTAGACGCGGCAAACGCCCAGGGTGTGGCCTCGTGCTCCTCCTGATTGCCGCTAGCTGGAAACAGACAGCACGGGAGATTGCCATGGTGGCGACGGGGGTTATGCCGTGAAGGACTCCGACGTGTTGCCCAGATGCGAGCAAAAATCCCGGGTGTGCCTAAGGGCGGTTTGCCCTAGTGGTCATTACACAATGGGGATAATGTCGGCGTACAAAGTCGTCCTTCGGCATTAAGCTAGCCCAGTGTTAGGGCGGCGAGGCCGGTCCGAAATAAACCGGGTAATAGTTTTCGACATATAGTCTTCTGCAGTTTGATTTCAAGGTGGCTGCACCTGTGCGGGAAGCTTCTCGGGAACGCGCTTCGAAAGCAGGTAGATCGTACTGAACCGCTCTTTGGCCGGCCATCTTGGCTTGTTGTATTCGTGACACACGAGCCCTGACGATTCTACGTCGAAAGCGGTGGATGCGCAGTTCCCTGTGGGCACAATCGAGGCGAGACCGATACAGAATCATGCGTGTGGGTGTTGCGCGGCGGGGTGCACTTGAGTGATGCCATGGTGTCGAAACGTTTGGCGAATTCTTATTTCTACCACCGTGCGTGCAGCACCAAGAGATCTGTCTCAAATGCAGCCACACACCCCTGAATACGTTTTTTTTGTCACCGAAGAACAAGAAATATGCCTTACCGGTTCCGTTTGCGGTCCATGTTGATCAGCCAGTCGTCGACGTTGTTCTCCTCCCACGAGTCGCACAAAGCTTTTCTCTGTTTTCACGAAGGCGGGGCGGGGGTGAGTGAAGGTGGTTGGTCAGAAAATGGCCAGCGTGTTGATGATCTGTAGTTGACGAGTGGTAGAAGCAACTCAGGAGAAGTCACACCCCATGTCCAGTGCGCCAAATCCTGTGTGTTCTATGCGTTTCTTCCATCAGTAAGCGTATCCAACCTTACATGGCATCGGGAGGTGGGCTTCAAGCCCTCATCGAGATGAACGAACCATGCCACCGGAGGTTCAAACGCGGTTAGTGGTGAAAGCCTTCGTGTTTGGGCGGAGGGGACATCAGGAGCCTGCCGGAGCAAAGACGGTATGTAGGGCCTCGTGCGGCGCCCTGTTTCACCTGTGCTAAGTCATGGATCCCTTGCAGTCGAATCGCCTCCGTGTGGAGCTCCTCCGCTAGCAAAGACCTGGCAACATGCGTCGGGGTACATAGTTTCAATTTTGTCGATGATGATTATAGCTGGCAGTGACAAGAGCACCAGCTAGAGTGCTAATTGGTCATCAATCCCTCGAGAGGAACACTCGTCACTACGCTAGCGATTCTCGACACTGCCACGTTGAGGAATCAACCAACCTAAAACACATTGGAATTGAAGAAAATTCGGAAGCGGTTTACCTCTCTTTCTCGACCTGCACGATCCTCTTTTGCCGTGCACCCTCCACCTCAAAGCGCCGCAACGATCTGGGCGTCGTGTTCAAAGCGAAGTCACTTGTCAGGAAGAACAGCCGACTTTGCTTCTCGAAAACGCAGCTAACAGCAATAACCTCTTTTTTGGAGGTCAGCTTAACTGGACGTGACTCTCTCTGTACTGACTTGAATTGGGGCTAGTAATGGTACGATGTAGGCCATTATATTGGTGTGTAGGCGATGCATGTCATGTGTACACCGGACGCGCTACTGTGACTAGATTAGCGAAATCCGAAGGGAGTCGTTGTGAAGAGCGAAACGCGTATCGAATGACACAGCAATGGAATGACCCTTCATCAGAAATCACGAGAAAATATTCGCCCTGCGTGGAACTCGAACGAGCACTTCTGTCAGAGGACGAATCCACGAGTTTGATACGAAGAAGGCGGTATCATGAACGACTTTGAGTGGGTGCTCACCTTTCAAGGTTAATTCCTTTCTGGCTCTGTACCATGTCGCGGACGGCAGCTGCGAAAATGCTGTGTGTCGCCCGGTCGTACTGAGGCTTTGTGGTTCTCTGCGACAGGTTCGGCAGGGGTTTAACGCCCGCCGGGCTGGTAGTGGGCCGCATTGACACGGGCACGGAGAACTTGGCCAAACGGTCCAGCACCATTTTCATCTGCGCATTATACAACCAAAGGGTGGAGCGAGTTCGTCTATGCCTTTTGCGGTCGAGCGCTCCCAGTTTCGCTGAGTAGCCTGAGTCGGACTTTGGTTTGGCGCCTGAACGCTTCCGGAAGTGCTACCCAAAGTATCGGGTGCTGTGCAAAAGGTTTCGAGCGACTTTCATACCCCTTATTTTTGTCATATCTGGTTCTATGTGTTTGTCTCTGTTGGTGACACGGAGCAGTTTATATCCGTCTTTCATATGAAAAAATGCCATGTACCTGGTAGAGAAGGCCACTGATCGCTCCTGGAGTTCCCTGCATGACGTTATACGCCACTTGCGCGTCGAATGGAACGCCCAGGAGGCGAAGTGTAGGTTCGAGGAGGATGAAGTTATTCACTTTCGCTTCTGATGTCTCCAGTTCCTGCCGTGACGACCGCATTGTTTTGATGATGAGCCTCGGGGTAATGCGAATGAAGTTATATGGTAGAACCTCGTCTTTCCTAGCAGCGGGTTCAAAGTGATTGCAGCCACCACCAGTAATATCACCTCGAATAACCCAAACCTAGGCGAAGCTGGCTCGTAATTGTTCGCAGTGGGATGGTAGCAGCATACACTTGAAGTCGATATGACGTGAGGTTTGTGCTTGAAGCCTCAAAGCATCACCAAGATCAAAGCTTCATCGAAGCCATGGTGCGCTACGGCAGTAGTACTTCTTCTATGAAGTACAGAACTATCGGTGCGTGCGTACGATATTGTTTTTGCTATCCTAAACTACGGTTATGGTATATTAACATCGTATCACCTCTACCGTAGTCTACCCAGAAACGTGGATGAGCTCCATGGAGCCTTGATTTACGTACCTGAAATAGAGCGAAATTAGGCTGGTGGTTGTGGATGTGAAGGATCTCTCCGAGCAAATATCCATTGCTCAAATCGTGTTCCAAGTTCAGAACCCGTTGCTTGAGGGCAAGATCCTCGTTCAGCCACCTGAGGCCATCGTCCATGATCGCAGGCATGATGCACCCCGATTGCGATGCCATGGTATTGTTCGGACATAAAACATGTGGCTCGAGTACCAAATGCCAGGTACCGTTGGTAGCATAAGATACCACACCCCTGGACCGGCTTTCAAAACAAGACTACAGTATTCTGGCACCAAAAACAGCGACGGTGCCAACAATGGAGGCGATGGAACCATCTTGTCAAGATCTGTCTCTGTGATCATTTAGGTTTTGTATCATCCTCTTCATGGGTGGAGTGCATGTGCTGCTGTACAAGTCGAGAATTGAAGTTCGGTTCAGGGGTGGTATCTTGCGCAACCTACTGTACGGCAATCAAGACAATGATAGATACGTACTGAAGGTTGGAGGTAGGGGTGCCGCATCTTCCATACTATCGCCTTTGTGGTGAGCGAAATGACCTCGCTTGAATAGTTGCATGTGCTGACACCAGCAGCAGTGTAGGTGTGGAACTACTGTATTGCAGTACATGTAAGCCGCTGGACATCATATACGTCGATGCACACAAGTGTTTTTTTTTTCTTAATCACACCCGCGGATCGTGTGTCGAATACCTGAGCAGAATCCCCGACATAGCTGTTGCCCCATGCAGCCACCAGCACTGCACCACGGATACGCTCTTCAGCAATCGAGCTAGAACTTACAAGGCATGTGCTTTGTGCATGTCTGGAACGCAGCCATCGTTGACTGGTCTCCTGCGCAACATTATCTCGCCGCGCGAAACCGTCACACACCACCCTGATTCCGCCGCATTTTCCCGCACACCCACAGCTTTCGTGGCTGCTTGCGACTCAGCCTGGGAAGGGGAGGGCAGTGGTGGAAACTTAGCTATCCACCACGTGCTATCATGGTAAGTCACCTTCCGGCAGCAGACATTTGTTTCCGTATCTACATCGTCCACGCTCTGGAAATCCGCCCCAACAGTATGGTGTACTCTCGATTCCCGACTAGACTTATGTATAGTATGCATACTTGCAAGCCTTTGTTCGATGTAAGCGACGCGTATCGGGACTCAGAGGTGAGGCGTGCTACGATAGAGCAAGGTTGCGACCACCTTCGCTTCGACGATTGTACACTCATGCATGGTACACAAGCCTTTTTGCTTTTATTTTGGAACTCTGCAACTGCGTAGTCTAAAGTCTACATACAGCAGCAGTCATCATTTCGACGTTCACATATAATAATTTTCTCAACCTCGAGTTATGGCTGCTGCACTCACGTCCTCTTGCACGTCCCGCCATTGCAGCAAGCTCAACCGCTGATGCGCTGGGAGAAACCCAAGTGCATGGGGGAGGTAAGAGATATATACACTACATGAGCGGGGAGATCTTGCATAGACTACATGAATGGACCACACTGACTGCTGTTGAACAGCAGTCAAATGATAGTCCTGGTGGAAGACGTCACTCGTCTATAATAATAACCCTGTGAAGACAAATGTAAGTTTCGCGCGGAACGAACGGAATCGCAATGCCCCACACCTTCAATCATGGGCCTGGTGGCCGTAATAGTAGCGACTGATGATGTGTCCACTCCTCTCCCTTGTACACAGGTGCCCACCAAGCGGTCGGGGCATTCCTTCACAGTCGTCGATAGTACAGGGTACCTCTTTGGCGGGGTACCACAAGCTCGACCGCCGGGGCCGACAAACGAAATGTTCAAGCTCGACATGAGCAATCGTAAGTACCTCGAGTACGTCTCTAGCAAGGGTTGTTTTTCGAAATAGCGGTTATTTTGAGGAGGCCCGAGAGAGACTTCGCCATTCTTCCCTGTATCCCAGGCTATTGCACGAGCACCTCGCGCACTTTTGCTACCCCACATTCCACGGAAATAGTCGTCGACGCAGGGTTGTGTATGATGGTGCGCTCATACAAGCAAAGGTTGTTATTCGGGTTTGTTGCCGAGCCTACATGTAACTTCCCAAGGTAGTGTCCTGCGATGCTGTTGCCTACTTGCACAATAATACAAAGGAACCGAGAGAGGGAAACTGTGAGAACTTGGTCATTCCTTGAGAGCCGTACGACCGCAGTATTGGTGCTAGTGTCAACTGCCTTCTAAATGCGAATATCGCACTGCCGCTCGTCTCGTACGCCACCTTGCCTGTTTAGCCGGGGAATTTTATTGGCAGAAAGTCAAAACACCAGGAAGGTGTCCAGCGCCCCGCTGGAACCATATCGTCGCTGTCAAGCCTCCGAGCACCCTGGTGCTGTTCGGCGGCTTTCGTTCTTCCAGCGTTCGGTTCAATGATTTGTGGTTACTGGATACAAAGGGTGATAAGTGGTCGCAGCCGCAGCCTGGCATAACGCAAGAAGCAGAAGACGGTGAGAGGATGTTTTGCTTACGATGCCAAGTATTCCAAGGGGAAACACACCCCTGCAAATTCATTCATTCTTGAGATCCCATGCCCCTACCCGCGCGCCATGCCAATGGGGGCTCAAAATGCACATGCTATACACGAGCGCTCGAGTCAATATGTCTCAACCTATTGTTCTAAGAGCTCAGGATTACAATTCTCTGTCTCCAGTGCCAGTGTATGATCGGAAAGTGTCGCGCCGAATCCATCTCGAGTTTGCGACCCACTTTCCCAATCCCCGGTTCGATCGTGATCCTCAGGAACTGTGACTTTCAAGAAACCATGGAAGGGGTGCCCCGACCCGCGAGGATCACATTCTGGGTGTCTGATTGGAAACTCGCTTGTAGTGTTTGGGGGATACGGAGGCCCAGGTTTCAGCCGGAGAGATTTCAATGATGTGTACGTAAGTATCAGTGCGGGAAACAGTAATCGGAGCAAAGTCCAGGTTACGTTTTTGCCTTCAGCCTCGCAATGAACTCAACAAGAAACAGATCGGCTTCAAGGGTACACACTCAAAGAGAGGCGCGCCTACTCGCTATGATTCCGTTACCATTCTTTTCAAGGAGGTCTGGCGCTGACAACCGCCTACAATGTGTAGAATTGGTTTCTCATTTCAGAAGGCGTCCCGACTCAATGTTGTATTTTACGCAGGTGTTGGACTTGAGCACGTGGGAGTGGGTAGAAATCGAACCGACGGGAGAACTGCCAGAACCCCGATCAGGGCATCAGGTGCGTGAGGCGAGAGGAAAACACACCAATCACATCTTTGATGAGCTCTTTGTGGGATCCTGTCTCTCCTTGCAAAAGGACTCAAGAAAGCTATGCGAAAAATGGCAGGCGTCGTCTCTCCGTTCTACTTCTTGCATTGCTTTGACTTTTCTTCAGCCTACGGAGACAATGCACTCATTGCTTACAATAAGTAGCCTCTGTGTGGCATCGTACCCCAGCGAACGTTTGGTGTGGGAACGTCCAACAACTAGTGAGCAGCGCGGGCACCAACAATGTTTTTCTTCATCGCCAGCGGTGCTATTTTGTGGGCTAATACCATGACGACTGTTGCTCCCTCCTGAACAGACCGTGGTTGTGAAGGACGCCTTATACGTGTGCGGCGGATGGAACTCGGTACAGCAATTTGACGATCTCTTCATCCTCGACACCAAGACTTGGGCGTGGAGTAAGGCTGACTGCGGGAGTGGGAGTGCATGGGGGCCTCCCAGGTGTGGAACATCAGGGATGGGACTGACAACTTCGCAACCCAAACACTCGACCCACGAAAAACCGTAAGGAATCAACGCACGAGAGCCTAACTTGTTACTGTACGCCGCATAACCTTGCATGGTTCAGTATGCCCGGTCATAACCGTAGTCACGCGTAGGGGTAATTTTTGATCTTCTTGTTGCGCTCCCTGCGGCTTGCTGGCACCGACGTGACTCAGGTGGAACCACTCGGCCGTGGGAGTGTTTGCTGTCCCGCACTGGAAAGTGTTCGTGTTCGGAGGCAACAGCGGGAACCTCGCGGAGGGAGGAAACCCGCAGGTTAGATGATAGTACCCCTGGGGATTTGGGGTGCGGCTATCGTTACCAGAGCAGGCATGCGCTATGTACATCATCGTTATGTTGTTGGCACTCCCTACCGCCTAGCCGAGAACTTCCTAGAAGCTTGCGGCATTCTCGAGTTGGCAATTAGCCAACGGCTATATGAACACATACAAGAAGATCCAAAAGTGTTTCCACACTTTTTAATTTTTGGCAACTATTCGTTGATTTTGCACGCCGGTTTCTCGCAGGGGGATTTTCGGAACGACCTGTGTGTGCTCAACACGGGAAGCAACACGTGGACCGCGACGTCTGTCGTAGGAGAGCTACCCGAGCCGAGGTCCGATACTCAGGTGAAACCTCGGTGCACACCGCTACGTGCTTCTCGAAGATGCCTCGTGTTGCGAGGTAGTTGCATGGAGTGTGCGATGCTGCAGTAATGGAAACATACGTACATAGTGTTGAAATAATTCTGTGTTGAAAGTAGTTCTGAGGCCCAAACGATATTGGCTAGGAAGTGAGGTTGGGCGTTGCTGCCCTATCGCACGCCTTGCTTCACCTCACCTTGGTAAGCTTTGCTGAGTAGACCACACCTGACAGCCACTTTTCGACTTTGTACATGTGCAACAAGCACTCATGCGGGCAGTAACGCCCTTTCCTGCTGTTACCGTTTGCCAGATGATTTACGACACGACCAACTCTCGGCTGCTCCTTTTCGGGGGCTGGGCAAACAAGTGGTAAGGGAGAGCTTCTAAATATATGGCACGGGTACCCTTTGATTCAATGTGGTGGTGAAATAATTAGGGAAGGCGAGAAGGCTGCCAATGCTAGTACCCGTCGATTGCACTGGCCACAGCAACCAACCATCCTGACAAGTGCTTCTTTCTTTCAGTATACATGTCACCGGGTGGTCGCATGACCACATAAGTTGACTCCTCTCTCTCGGTGCGCTGGAAATCCAACCAGAGATACTGAGATCCTACACCGTCAACTGAAAGTCGCTCGCGTTCGCTCAGGTGGGGAGAGCTTCACGTCTGCTCGGTGGGAGAGGTTGTTGGCCCTCCATACTCCTTAGAGACAATAACGCCTGGATCTGGCGCCATCACCGGGGCAACTGAGTCCACGGTGCGACATGATTCGTAGCCCGCTCCCGCGGACGAAGCACGGCAGTCCGTTTGTCTTTCCAGCAACAATTGAGAGGGTCTCAATCACGAGTTCTCACACCGAACTGACCATGCCCAACAGTATCTTTACTGCAAAAGGCGTATTCTATGAACGAAGATATTTCCTTGGACATGAAGGCATTGCGGACCAACCCCCGCGCGTGTTTCCTTTTCGCAGATCACTGGTATGGGGTTCTCTTCAACCTCTGGGTCCGTGAACGTAAGGTTCGCCTGTCCCAAGGGCTTTGTCGAGACGGAAGGGCGAGTCGTGAACGATACCGAGGTGTCCTTCCATACACCCAGTTTCGAGAAGTTCGGCCCCATGCAGGTGTGCGACCAATAACCAACGCTCTGATTCACACCAACGGCCTCGCCAAAATCTAACGAACCGTGCATGTCATGATTGTAGTTTTCGGCGTGACAATGAACCAAGAAGGGTGATACCATGAATAAGCCCCGCGGCGGCGTGTCGGTCAATTCAGGCATTTTTTCACCTTTGCTTGCGATTACGGTACGTCTATTCCTTGCCGTCGGGAACAGCTCGCTGATCTCATTGATATCTTCGAGAAGACTTCCATGTAGAGTCGGAGAACACGCCGTGTGTGAATTTGGTCTGAAGGGATAGTGTTTCTTCATCGTGAAGGTCTTTGGTTTGTTCATCGATCTTGACCCCGTTACGTCAGGTGGAATGCCGGCTCTCAATCGGTCCGAAAGGTCTCACCAATACCAAGGTCAACTTCCAGTACTTCAGCGTGGGAGACGCCACTAAGACAGTGGCGTTCGGGCCGGGGCTTCTGCACGGCACGGCACCAGCTGTACCCGTGGTGTTTATGATACAGGCTCGGGACAAGGTGATTTTGTGCTTCAAGAATTGACGCTCCTTTCGAGATCGTGTGTCTACCTGGGCGCTTACCGCGCGTGGGGTAACGATGAAACAATCTTGCTTACATACAATACCTGGGAAGAGATTCTACGACACCACAAGGCAGCCCCCGTTGTGCATGACGAGCTCGTGTTTGCTGTTTTGCACCAGCAGCAAGAATGGAGACTTCATTTGGTCTCTCTAGTCTACTCACGATGAAGAAGCACTGAAGAACGGCAGGCAGAGAAGAACGTATTGGCTATACACATCCCTACCTTTTTCTCTGCTTTTCGTTGACCAGATTGGGAATGATCGCGTTTGCGGTATGGACGAGTTCCGTGTGGAAGTGGTGAATGTCGCTGAAGAGGCGGAACGGCTAAAAGAGGCGGCCAAGGCGGCAGCTAAGTCCAAGGATAAGGAAGGGGAGGAAGAAGAAGAGGAGGTTGTTCCTGGCATTGCCTCTAGCATACAGGTGAACATAAAACCGCGGAGTCGACGCCATACAACACTAGAGGAGAACAGCAGGGCCGTGCGTATCGACTCGTATCCTCAACTGGTTTCGACCCGTCACCAGACGGAAAAACGCTGCTCACAAGCCACGTCGATATTTTGACACCCAAACTATTCTCGCTTTACTTCAACCCCATCTACTAACACCGTGCCATACCAACTGCCGGGCTAAGCGCTCGTCAATATACATCGCTATCCCATGCCGTCCGCACTGTCAAACGTCGTCAGGACAACATGGACGGGACCTACCTGGTGTCGTACACCCCCCCTAGCGCCGGTGAATACCGGGTGTCCGTGGAATTCCTCGGGACGTTCCAGGTATTTCTAACATCCGACTCGATCGCGGAAGTACCATATGCAGCAAGGTAAATATGTACGAAGAAATTCCTCAAGTGCTGCCGTGATGATCAGCCCCCCTCACGAGCTGTACAGACCTGCAAGACAACTTTTCTACCACACGCTGTTTTCCTGCTACCATGGATGGCCGCAGGGGATTGCCGGGCCCATCTGCGGGTCACCGTTCACTTCCGTGTGCGAGGATGGCTCAGACCCGGAAAATAACTCGCTGAACGGACCATTGCTGATGTCCACCATCAAGGACTCGACGAAAGAGCTCAAGGACTACTCCACGAAGACCCTCAAGGGCCTCAAGAAGGTAGACACCTCAGTGGCCCGTTGAAGATCCATCCGTCGCGAGCGTCGCAGATGCTTGATCACACAGCCAACATGGGGGCCTCCATTAAACAGCTCCCATGCCAAGAAAAAGCACCGATTCAGAGGGGTTAAACCGACCTGATTCCGTTTGCAACAAGGACGCCAAAAAGGACGTTTCTACTGATAATAATCGTTCTGTATGCCATGCCATGTACATCCTCCCCTACGTTTGAAGACAGCCGCGGCAGAGAAACGTTATACGATCCGCTTGTCTCCGGGAAGAGAGAGGTCGGGGCACCCGGTGTTGTGAGCGTGCACCGCAAACTGGACCACCCTCCTGGTCGTCGATTTTGACGTGAATGTTTCAACGCTCACCGTGTTTGCTCCAGTCTGAATAAAATGCCGATGGACGCGCTAGCGTTAACTGGTTCGGAATGTGTCGGCTACCGATGGCAATATCGACGACACCTTAGTATTGGCGTTTGATGTCGTACCCGCTTGCTCGATCGCTCGATCCCACCACCAGAACATTCCCAAGGACGACCGGCACGAGCTTATCAAGTGCAAGGAGTACCTCAAGGAAACGGAGGCTCGTCGCCAGGAGCTGGATCTGCGGATAAATGCCAACCGTGCGGCGCTCTTCGTCTTGAGGAAGAAGGGCGAAAAGAACGTCGACCGGTATGTTGTGTATATACTGTAACCCGAAGATACGGTGTTCTGTCGTCGTTCTTGCTGCAGCTCTTCGTTCCGTTCGGCGAACTTCGGGGGAATCCTTGAAATGACCAAGTACAGAAATCGTTCGAATCCTGTACTTATCGCTGCATGAAAGGCTGATTTGAAACTGAACGCGGCGCTACAAATGGCATTGTCACGTTGCCATCGTATTTTTATGTTTCCTCGTCTTGCCCACTAGGCTCTTGGACACGCTGGATAATGCTGCCACTGTGTGGACAGATGTCAAGGCTCAGGCCCCAACCACGCAGCAAAACTTAGTCCCGCTGACGAAGCTGTGGTCGGAGAAGACGGAAGAAGAGATTGAAGCGTACCAGGGCGTTGTTAAGGAACAGGTACGCGCGAATACAACTCTCCATCGATCGGCCCCTATCAGATCTTGCCGGCCGCAACACCTTATAGTGACGGGCGCACACTCTGATACACGCAAACGGATATCCCAATGAGCCAAAGAAATAGTGCACGCCCGTGCCCCTGTGGGATCGAAAGTAGTGTTTGAAGGGATGGAATCTTCTACAACATGAAGAGGACGTTCGTACTGAGATGGCGGAAAGAATAACATCGTCCTCCACCGATTACAACGACGTTATTCCCGCTTCCAGCTTCCTGTGCCCACTTTGGCACCTAGCTTTGGAGCAACCCCGCCCCGCTATGCGACGCTGACGTCCTCGAGAATCTCTCGGGCCAGGTGCATGCGTCTTTGTTTCGTATCTCGGCAATCACATAACACCTCCCCTCGTATCTCGTCAACCCCACGCGCGTTACCGGGGGCAGTTGAAAGAATTCAAGGTGCGACCCTTCTGGGAGTTCGAGTGCGGGGCAGAGGAGGGCAGGAAGGCGTTGGGCGAGGCCGAGGACGCCCTGGCGAAGGAAAGGAAAAAACTGGACGCAGCAACTCATTTATGCGCGCTATTCGAGTTCCCGGACGCCATCAAGGAGAGCCAGCGGATGATTGCGGACATGGAGTCCAACTGCAAGCTCATGTACAAGGTAAACGTTTGCGAAATCCTTTTTCCAAGACGACCCTAGCTGAGTATTCGGCGAATTTTGTCATTGACCAACAAGCTTCATGAATCGAGTATCCACCGTACAAAATTTGACCTAGCCCTTTCTTGCTGACACCTTTCTTCTTCGTAGCAAAGTGCATGGTGTGGTGCTAGTCTGCAACAACAATGGCTCTGAAAGGCTGGAGAGAACGTACTGAATGGAGGTTGAGGCGATGCACTAACACTCTCGGTTCATCATCCACAAACCAAAATACGCAGCCGACGTGCGCCTTTCCTACATATCCTTAACTTCACGACGGCCCCCCCAATCCTATTCCTAGGTATGGGACGTGTGCGAAGAGCTGCAGACCTTCATCCAGGACAGCAAGGAGGTGCTTTGGTCAGAGGTGAGACGCGACGTGGCATCGATATGCGGGATAACGTCGACTCCGTACGTGTTCCGTTTCCATACCCGGTGGTACCGACAAGTTTTATTTGTTTGGATGACGTGTGCAGCTGTGATGAGAATCGGGTCGAAAATCATGGGGGCTTACAACACGTGACTTTGTCCTGAACCCAGGTGACACCTGAAGCGCTCGAGGACGACGCAAAAACGCAGATGAAAAATGTGAAGGCGGCGGGGCACAAGGATATCCGGTGGTGCGGCGCTTACAAGGTGGCCAATCTGAGCAGTGTTGAAAGTTCGTACAAGTTTCCATGGTGGTGGCCAAAGCACCCCTTCTCTCGAATCGTTATCAAGAGGGAGATGGTGAACTGGTTCGTGGTCAGAAACACTATGGCGGAAGCTGTACTCCAGTGAGTCAAACGCCGCCACTTGTAGCAGCTGTGCCATCTCGCTCACCAAACACTCTTATCTCAGTGCACTCCCAAAGAGCAACAACGTATTTCAGTTACGTCAAGAGCGCTATAATTGACACTGGATCCGTTCCTCTTCAACGGACGCTTGCTTCTTCCCTCTGGGCAATTCGTATCCCCGAAGGCTGAGGACAAGCTTTGCAAGGACTTCCTCAATACCATCCCGCTCATTTCGTTGCTCGGGAACAAAGCCATGAGACCTCGGCACTGGATGATGTTGATGAAAGCAACAGGCAAGTTCGTTTATAAGCCAAGTCTAATGATTGCAGGGGCTGAGGGTGGCTGTACTATCACACGAACTGAACTGGGTATCTTGGACCCGTGTCCATAAGCATAAAGGATTTTTTCTTCGATATGACTACCGACACATTTTTTTATGAGAGGCAGAAGAATCTGCGGTTGCTTCCTGGAAGTAGTTATTCCAAGACGACCTTGTTGCTTGCTACACAACTTGTAGTACAGCTATCTCTCTTGTCGCGGTGACTCCTAATGACGACTCTTTTTCTGGAATTCTTGTTTTCCTCGCGAAACATAGGCAAGGATTTCGTCCCTCCGTACCAAGATCCTCAGCTCAAGCTAGGGGGCCTTCTCGCCCTCAATCTGCACGAGTTCAGCTCTGATGTGGAGGAGATTGCGGACCAGGTACAAACCAACCAATGGAATAGCCAACGCGTCATCTGAGGATTTCTGACATTCTAAGCATCCTTGAGTAGAGAACGAGGCTGGTGATACTTGTCAGCCTTCCAACTGTTACCTGTGAATGTTTTTCGCTGTCCATACCAGATGGAGGGGAAGTGCTGTATCATGCAAGTACAAGTAAATAACAGGGTCGATGCTTGCACGTGCGTTATGACAGGCCATCAAAGAGGAAAAGATGGAGGTCACCTTAGCGCAGCTGGCAGAGCGGTGGAACAACATCGTCTGGGGCATGGACCCTTACAAGGGTGGAGATGTTCCTCTACTGAAGATGGCGGAAGAGGACTTCGAGGCACTCGAGGTAACCACTTGTTTCACTACTGTTCGCCAGAGACACAAGAGACGTTGTGGTGGCTGCGTGACGTTCTGCATTGTGTGCATGACGAATCGAAGAGGACGTGCAGCGTAACCTGGCTGGTGTTACACACATGCCTGTCCTCGTTCAAAGTGGGTGCCAGATGGGCAGTGGCAGAAGTGTTCCATTCAAACAATCGCCCTACGGCAACAGATAACGCCCCGCAAAGATGCCTCTCGTGTTCCCGATAGCCATCCCGCGCCTGCAGTCCCTAACGTCGTGTACCTAAAAACTGTCGTCCATGTGCGATATTTACACTGTGATTTGCAGGCGGACCAGCTGGTGGTGCAGGGCATGATGGCTTCGAGATACCTCGCGCAGTTCGAGGAGGTGGTGAGCGGCTGGCAGACCCAGCTCAGCATGGTCAGGTACGACATCCGCGACTTTCGACATTAGTCGAGTGGCCGTTTGTACCTCCCACGCAGTTTGCGAGCACAACGTAGTCATGGGCCGTCGCATTTTGCGATAGTACCTCCATCGCCAAACACAGCCGTGAAATATGCAACCATGCGTGTGTGTTCTGTAGGCCTTGAAACCTTACTGCCCCCAACGGTTGGCCGCAATTTGTGCTGGCCGCGATGTCTCTGTCCGCAGTGATGTGTTCACCATTCTTCAGGAAATTCAGCGAACGTGGTCTTACCTGGAGCCCTTGTTCATTGGCTCCGAAGAAGTGAAGAAAGAGCTTCCGGAAGACGCCAAGCGTTTCGAAGGCATCGATACCGATGTCAAGGCTCTCTTGAAAAGTGTGAGTCAACAGTGTTAGGAGATCTCCTTTCAAGATCCAGCAGCTCAGCCAATAATCTAGACCGAGAGCGGTTGGTTGGACTGCGGTCACTTGGGTTCTTCCTTCCCACTGCTTTAGCGCTGATCATACCATTTTCTTGGGGATCTCCCTCCGCACTTGCACCTCTTCGCTCGCTAGATGTGGGAGAAAAAGAGCGTGCGAGATGGTTGCAACACAGACGGCTACCTGGAAAAGCTGGAGTCAATCCAAGAGCAACTGGAGCTCTGCAAGAAGAGTCTGGCGGACTTCTTGGACGGGCGGAGGCGGCAGTTCCCCCGCTACTACTTCGTGTCAGAGGCAGATCTGCTTGACATCCTATCCAACGGGTCGGACCCCAACAAGATTCTCGTCCACACTCCCAAGGTGCGTGCAGGAGTAAGAGGGCAACGGGGGCAGGCCATCCTGCTGCAGTCAGCCTGATTTATGAATGCAATGGCCTACTGTTTGTCGCCGTCATCACCACGTCGTGCTCCAAGCGTGCTGCATTCATACTGTTTACTTCCTCACTATGTCCGTCATCCTGTCTCAGGTCTACCTTTGCTGCAAGACCTTGGTCTTAGGAGACGAGCTCATGCCATCTGGCAGGTGCGTGTATGGATTGGTGGTCGTTTTCTTGTAAAGTGGACGTGTTATGGAATCGTGTTGGGGCCAACACGGCCTTTAGGACTCCCCATTGCGGCTGGTGGGAGGACAATGCCCTGGGTCGAGTCTTGACCTCTCGCGTTGTTCGTCTCTCCCGTGCAGTCGCGGGAAACCGGAGCGAGATCAGGGCATGCTACGTTGTCTCAGCGTACCCCACCGTGGTCAGGCTACGATAACTTGTCCATGAGGTCATTTTGATGTCTCACACACGCCCACACCCGACGCGTTTTTCTCTTCTTGCAGGCCAAAGGCTGTACGGCTGGTGTCGGGAGTCGGCAGCGAGGAGGTCGAGTTCGAGCCTGCCATCCCCCTTGAGGGCAAGGTCGAAATATACATGCAGGTGAAGAAAACTCCGGCCAGCCTTCTTGTTCAATATGGCACACCGGTCGCTTCAAAGCGAGTTGTCCGGGTCGTGTGTCTAGTCTGGTGTTTCGGTGGACCAAGAACTCCGATGATCAGTCTCTCGTTTGGAGATTTGTTTCCAAACGGTCGAGCTGAACTCTCGAATGGAGCTGAAGTCTCGTATTGCACGCACTCTTATTGGCACTATGATGCTGGATTGATTGACCCAACTCCCATGAAACCCGCTCTCTCGTGCACAGGATGTCCTCGACGTTACCAAAGCATCGCTGTACAACAACCTCAAACGCTCCCTCTCTCGCTACAGTGAGATGAGCCGACCAGAATGGCTCATGCACAAGAATCCTACATCAGGTGGAAATATGTTGTTTTGGTGATGTGCAAGGTTTCACTGAGTTTGCGTTCTATTGCACGTGTCGCAGACGTTCGACATTTCTTCCGGTTCAGCGAAGGGAGTGGTAGAAACAAGGAAATACTTTCTCTTCAAGGTACTTGCAGTAGATTCCCTGTCGCGTCGAAGAGAAATTGGCAAATCCTGCAAACTTGTAGACACAGCACGTCCACTGCGTTCGCGTTGAACCGATTAATTCCACGCACTCACAACCACTTTTTCTCTTCTTCGTATTTTACGCAGGGCGGCCGAGCGATCCGGCACAAATCATTTTGCTCACACTGGCCATCAACTACGTCTCCGAGGTGAGATGAAGTATCATGCCTATGGGGCTATTGCACGCACGCATGCGTCAACATTCTGTTAGTGTATTCTTGCATTGGGATACCTCTATTCGTAGCGCCACTTGAGATGTGCCTTGCGCTGAACAAGATCCGCCGCTCCTTCTCCTTCTGTGTGACGAACCCTTCGCAGGTAGAAGCGGCGTTCATCGAAGGCCAGAAGGGCAAGCAAAACGCTCTGACGCACTACAACAAACAACAGATCGATCAGCTCAATGACCTCATCAGGTACAAGAAAAATTCTCAGGATGTTTGTGTTGGACCAGAAATCTACCTGGTAGACGTAATGATCACGAGATAGCAGAGATCAAAAACGCCCGTAACAAACAACCCTTGTTAGCCCTCAAAAGAGGCGAGGAGGTACACATTAGATCCACCCTGAGTTTTCATGGTGTGATTCCTTGGTCCTCGGCTCAAAATCCGCTACGATTTGCTTTCATTTTCATCGCGATGTTGGTTGTGCCGTTGGAATGCGCAGGCTCACGCAGTCAGACCTGACCAAGGGCGACCGCACGCGAGTCATGGTTTGCATCACGATGGACGCCCACGGTCGTGACGTTGTTCAGAAAATGGCGAGGGAGGGCGTAACCATGGTGAGACCAACGTTTGGCGATACTCGAGATGTGCAAAAATGAAAGCGCATCCCTCATTTGCCACTATCGCGAGCGATCGCAGAGATGGTTCTATCATCATTGCATCGCACAATTGCTTCCCCTTCTCCGGAGGTCTGTTGTCGCTCCCAGCGCTTTTATCGCCGACATGCTCCCTCTTTCAGGCACGAATCTTTGCAGCAGCAAGCATCCACAAAAGTGAAACGCCCAACAGGATAACGCTACCCACTCACATTCTCGGAAACCTCTGCCCGGCTGTGCAGGCGACCGAGTTCCAATGGCAGTCCCAGCTAAAGCACAAGTGGCGCGTGCCTCCACCGTCTGCTAGTTTCCAAAACCGAGACCCACAGCTACGGGGCCCCGGCGGCGAGCGCGCAGAAATCGCCATCGCGGATGCCACCCTGCCCTACGACTACGAATACCTCGGGAACGGGCCGCGGCTGGTTATCACGCCACTCACTGACCGGATCTACGTGACGGCCACACAGGTCTGCCTCTAACTAATAATAGTTTCGTTGAAACTACATTCTGAGTTTCCCCGACGCCGACAGGTCAATACCTGTGCTCTGGAGTAGATGGACAACTCGAATGACCGTGTGCCTGCGTCCAACGTTTTGAGACCTTTGCATCGACCAAACAGGCTCTGAACCTGAAGATGGGGTGTGCTCCGGCTGGCCCTGCCGGAACCGGAAAGACAGAGAGCACCAAGGACCTGGCGAATGCGCTCGCCAAGTGTTGTTACGTGTTCAATTGCTCTCCAGAAATGGACTACCAGGGCCTCGGGAATATTTTCAAAGGTACACTGTATGCAATACAAACCCGTTTGTGGTACATATCACTCTTTGGGAGAGAATTGTTGGCCAATAACGTCTCAGATTGGTTTCCTTGTGGTTTCCGTGCAACAGACAACGTGTTACACACGACGCATATCTACCGTCCGAATATTCTTTTCGGCAGACGGCGCAGCTGCCGCGCCCTGCTGGGATGTGTACCCCTCCTTGCCCCCCAGAGTGAAACTTGCTTTTTCTGGAGGTTCCTATCTTGCCTGACTAGCCCTCTCCTCTGTGTAATCCAACCATTTCCGTTTTTAACAGGGTTGGCGTCGTCTGGCGCTTGGGGTTGCTTCGACGAGTTCAACAGGCTCATTCCCGAAGTTTTGAGCGTGTGCTCTGTTCAGGTGAGCATCAACGTGAAACGTGTAGGACAGACGTTTGTTCTCATTTACCCCACTCTTCCGATTTGGCCACGAACAAGTGTTTTGCAGAATCAAGTTCCACCCCTCTTCTTAGGTTCGCGGGTTTGACGAGCATCCAATAGGCTGCTTCTGTCGGGTGGTGAAGACCGAACGCCCTTGACTCAATGTCGTGAATTGGCGCTTATTCCCCGAGGTTAGTTCAAGGCCGTATGCGACGGAGTGAAGGCCGAGGCCGCTCGAATCGTAATTGAGGGCGACGAAGTTAGCCTCGACCCAACATGCGGAGCTTATATTACGATGAACCCGGGTTATCTGGGTCGGTCTGAACTTCCTGAAGGTGAGCAAAAACGACCACTCCTTTCGTGCCCACTGACGTACGTTTTTTCAGACCACGCCTGTAATTGTACGTGGATGGTATGATAGGCATGAGCACAAGCAAGAATTCCGCAAGTGTCTGCTGTCCCCATCATCAACGGAGAGGCCCTGATGTGAATGTTGTATTTTTGCGAGCGGACGCTACTTTGGTGTCATGCCAAAATCGGCTATTCTCCCGTCCGTTTAATCCACACATCCCTTCGTTGTGGTTCCTCTGCAGGTCTCAAGGCCCTCTTCCGGCCGATGACAGTCATGGTGCCCGACCTTGTTCTCATCTGTGAGAACATGCTCATGGCTGAAGGGTTCATCGAGGCCAAGGTGCACGCACACCTCGCTCGCCACCGTGATTTGTTCGGTACAGAGTTGATTGTTGACAACGTGTGCCAGGAGAGAGCATGCACGTTAGAGATATCGTCATTCCAATCGGCTGAAGAACAAGCTGGCCGATGCGGACGTATAGCGGTCCGGCCAGCTTTTCTCTTCTCCTTGTAAGGCTAATGCAAATCCCGCCACTGTGGTTTCAGGTTCTCGCATCCAAGTTCTACGGACTCTACTCTCTCCTTCGTGAGCTGCTCTCAAAGCAGATGCACTACGATTGGGGGCTTCGCGCCGTCAAGGTACTGTCCACCCAACAGACGGTCTTCTCCAGACCGTAGTTGCGCTCCCTGCGCATGATTTTGTCATTCGTGGTGTAGTGTAGCTTGATATTAACTTTTTATTGTCAAGTGAATGAGACCCACCAATCAAACAGACATTCCGAAGAAGCAAACCGTCCGTAGTATTTGCGCCAATACTCAAACCTTCTTTTTCAGACAGAGTAGTGCGTGGCAAGAGAAAAAACGCTCTTGGCGTCTTCCGTGCGGACCCCTCTTGAACTACATACAGTCCGTGCTCGTGGTTGCGGGAGCCTTTAAGCGAGCAGAGCCGGAGCTGGCCGAAGACGCCTTGCTCATGCGCGCTTTGAGAGACTTCAACATCCCCAAGATCGTTCGAGAGGACGAGGTCGTCTTCTTCGGTCTTCTCGGTGAGGAAAGAGTGGTGCCATTGTGGTATACCCTGCGTACGTCGTCGAACACTTGGCAGTTTTCTCCATTGTTCTGCAAGGGTGACGGACTACTGCTGTAGCAGAGTTCGTCGTGTAGGAATATGTCGATGTTCGAATTACCGTTGACTACTTTTCCCCAAGGCACTAGACCAACCGGAAGACCTAAACCACTAGGTATTCCGCGCTTGGTATCACGAAAGGCTGTTGTTGATGCTCTGCAACTCCGAAACTGCAGGCGACTTGTTCCCTGGGCAAAACCCTCCCCGGAAAGTTGACGAAGAGCTCGAGCACTTCGTGGTGAAGGCTTGCGAAGTGACTGGAAATCACCCGGATGATCTCTTCTGCCTAAAGGTATGCGCACCACTCCTCTCCGTCTCCTTTGGTACTGCGGTGGTGGGCTTGAATGACAGTTGTGACTATTATAGGATGCACTCCTTCCCTCGGTATATATTTGAATTCTTGGTGTCCTTGGGACGTGACGCACGCATACTGTTACCGCCGGCTTTTTGCATTGCTAGCCTACCTACGAAATACCTGCGCGGTAGTAGAAAGCGCCAGTCAATGTGAAAGTACACTTTCCCTTCACGTGTCTGAACCGTTTTCTATTCCGCCACCCGATTTCGAGCGAAGGTCGTCCAACTTGAGGAACTCCTTCAGATTCGGCACTGCGTATTCGTCATGGGCCCGCCCGGTGCAGGAAAGAGTCAATCGTGGAAGGTGAGATATTGTACGTGACACTGGCTCGGTGGACCGCAAGCATCACCTTAGCGACGGGAGCGGGTTCCCATGACCTATCACGATGCCTCTGTTCATACTCGTACCAGACTAACCTTCTTGGGCGTTCTCGGTCTCCAATGACCTTACCCCGTTCTCCCGACCGCGGCTTGCGATCGCTTTGTCGTGCGTTGCAGACATTAGCGGCTGCACGGAAGCTCCGGACGCCCGACAATTTGACCAAGATCATGGACGTTAATCCTAAGTCGATCAAGACGGAGGAGCTCTACGGCTTCATCTCGATGGCCACTCGAGAATGGAAAGACGGGCTCCTTTCGAAGGCGAGCTCGGCTGTGTTTGAAGCAACCGCTCAGCAGCAGCAAATATCACGTCAAACACGAAACAAACCCGTACTATGGTATTTACTGTTTTTGTGGCCGAACGGTTCACTACCTGGAGATGAAAAGGATATTCCCCATATTTCTGGGTCTGTTCTCACATGCACCCTGCAGCGTATCACCGACATCAAGATCCAAATGTGAGGACTAACCTAACCGTGTGCTACATACGTTTCCTTCAGGTAATGCGCGATTTGGGAAACATCCCAGACGAGAAACCCAAGTGGATCCTCCTCGACGGTGATCTCGATGCAAACTGGATCGAAAGCATGAACTCAGTCATGGACGACAACAGGATGCTCACCCTGGCGTCTAACGAACGCATCCCCTTGAAGGCAAGCGCAACACCGCACAGCAACGTGCACCTGATTCAACGGTAATATTCGCGTTGTCCGGGATGAGGAGTCGGACGTTTGAACACGTCCCCTAGTACCGACGAACGTACAAGAATTATTCTTCCAAGGTCTTTGTGCAACCACGTAATGTCAACAAGGCAGAAGCTTAGGAAGGGGCGATTTTTCCCTCATCCTTCACTTCACACGTCCGTCTTTGGCCATTCCCATAATCTTTTCTAGCACTTCAACTACCGGGGAAAAACCGTTCCGCTCTATCCGTCAACTCAAACCCCCAACCACAGTCACACATGCGAATGATCTTCGAGATTCGGGACCTCAAGTACGCCACGCCTGCGACCGTGAGTCGGGCCGGTATATTGTACATCTCCACCGACGACGGCACGCAGTGGGTCAGCCTTATCCAGTCTTGGCTCAAGAACAGAGAGGAACCGCAGAACATCAAGGATGCCTTCCAGGTGATTATTTTCTTTCGTCCACCGTAGCTGTTCCGGAAAACAAACTCTGGTTTGTCGTAAGTGGCGCCGGAGTTAGCGTAGCCGTGTGTACTGAAGAACTCCTCCCAAATCCCGCACAGGTACCCCTGAGGTCGCAAGGTTGTGAAAAAGATTGCATTTCTTTCGAAAGGGCCGTGATATGCACGATCACAGAGGTGATGTGCGTTGCTCTCTCCGGTTGTCGATTAACGTCCTATGGCACACCACGGCCCTGAAACGGGGGCCTACTACACCCGTAGGTGCTGGAACAATGTTCTCTTCGGGTCACACACGGCAAACCACATTGCCAACCCTGCTCACCGTACCCCGCGACCATGCCACCTCTTCGTTTCCGACTCATTAGGGTTTCTTCGACGAGTATGTCGGAGCTTGCTTGCTGTGGATGAAGATCAACGTCATGCCGATTGTTCCGGTGGAGGACATGGCCCTCGTACAGGTACGGCGGAGGGTTCCACCGCCCAATTCTTGTCGTTCTTGTTCTTGCTTGTTTGGAGGGTTTCACCCCCCAAATCTCGTGTCGTTATTGCGTTCGCTGCTTTCTTCGACGAGGTTCTCAAAAAAAGCTCTTGTGAACAACCTTTAGCCTTATAACCTCGAGTTGTTTATTTACGAACGAATCAGGCGAACGCAACACCGCCTGAAAAGGCATATATTGACACAAAACAAGGGCAAACACAACCGAGCCCACAGATGGTTGCTGTGTATTCGTCCACAAGAGTGCCACCTCGACGCTCGACCTACCCTGAGAAGAAAAGGCCCCAAAAAAACGCGCCGAGACTAGAGCACAAAGTCAGGGACCGGCGAACAAACTGCGTTGTGCGCTCTTCACCTCCGGCAGGTCTTGCTCTACATGATGGACGGCCTGCTCACACCGGCGAACACGAGTACGGTGGAGGAGCTCGAGAAGGTCTTCGTGTTCTGCATGATCTGGGCGATGGGCTCCGCCCTCACCGTCTCAGACGACGGAACAGACTACCAGAAGTTGTTCAGCGACTGGTGGCGAGGCGAATGGAAGAAGGTGAGTAATGGTTAGCTGGTGTTCTCTACATCTTGCCTGCCTGCTGCAGCTATGCAATCAGGCTGCGCCAAGGGGTCACTGACGTATGTCCCTGGATGTCCCTGGAACCAAGCCTCACGAAAACCAATTGTAGTGTTTGACCTCGGGCAGTCTCCGTCGAAATGGACCCCTTAATTTGAATCTCCTAAGCGGCTATCCACCCAATCTTACAGTAAGTGCAGTTCTAAACCCAGTCATCGTTGTTTGCTTGGCAACGTCGTTGACGGCGGCTTAAACATGACACCCCAGGTGAAATTCCCCAGCCGTGAAACGGTGTTCGACTACTGGCTTGATCCGGAGACTGGGTCGTTCGAGCAATGGACCAAGAGCCCATACTTCTTCTCCATCGACTACGATTCGAGAGTGACGCCAATGACTCAGGTGACAAATTCAGGGAAAGCTCTAGCGCTACACTAGTGCATAATATTGGAGTTTCGATCCCGTTTTTGTCGTGTTCGGTCACCGACTGGTGTTCCACATCAATGGTAACTGCAGCATTTCCCAACCCCTGCACCACACCGTAGTCGTTGAATATTGGAAAATTGTACCGCACGGTTTGTGTCTGGTACTAAGAATTGCTGACCTACACGTATTGGAAGTTTTGAGCGATGTTCCAACGCGTAAAGTTTACACCACGTTCTCGTGCACGCCACAATGTGCCCTGACGCCAGATAACTGTGCCTACGCCCGAGACCTGCTCCGTCACTTTCTGGATGCAACTTCTGGTAAAGATGCGGAAGCCTGTCATGATGGCCGGGCCATCTGGCACGGGCAAGACCCAGGTAAGAGCGTCTCAACTTGACGCAGGCTGTTCCAGGCAACAGGCACCCTTTCATGGTTGCCGTGCCTTGGAGCAATGAGATGCTCTTGCGTCAGTCACGATAAGAGGCAATGGTGCAGTTAACCGATACTCCTGTTCGAACTCAGTCGCGAAAATACTCTTAAAGGCCTGAGCTCGCTTCTCCGAAACTGATACCTTCTCTCTCTCTTCTTCCGTGCGGTGCAGATGGTAATGGGCATGCTAAAAATGCAGAACCCGGACGAGTTGACGTTCCAGTCCATCAACTTCAACTTCTACACGACTTCTGCCGTTCTCCAAGTGAGTATGCTGCCGGGACAGAAAAACTGGAACTACGCTATCCAGTTACGCAGCTTCGAAAGCACACTTCGCTGCAATATACGGCAAATGCAGATGGTTCCACAGTCGGTGGAGTCAAGTGTTCAGGGCTTGAAATGGTGCCACCACATCGCTTCAGAACGGATCTAGCTCAACCGTAAAAAAAAACCGCGGACAAGATCAACAATCTAAGTACGCAGCAGCGCATATGCATTGGCGGATATTGGTGGGTATTTGCTGTCGATCGTTGTATTTGACTCTCACCCGATCTCGATTTGCGTCCGTCTCGTTCTGTCTGACTAGAACACGATGGGACTGCCTCTTGAGAAGAAGACCGGGACCAACTTCGGTCCGCCGGGAAACAGCAAGCTCGTGTACTTCTTGGACGACCTCAACCTCTCGGAGGTAGGAGCGTGCCCGATAAAGTGTTCACGGTATATAAGAGCGCATCGCCGGTAGTTCGAGAGCCGGTTGGTCGAAGCAACTCCGAACATGCTGCTCGCACTACTGCGTCGCGCTATGAAGCCTTTTTCGCCTTGCTGAGCCTTGCTGTCCATATATCCCGTGCAACCGCCAAAACGTTTTACAGGTGGATCCGTACAACACCCAATCAGCCATTGCCCTCTTGCGACAACACATGGAGTACGAGCATCAGTACGATCTGGCCAAGCTCAGCCTGAAAAATATTGCCAACACTCAGGTTCGATCGATTGAGGCGTTTTGCTCTAGGACTTCTCCCATTCGAAATAGTAAATCTTCGAAGTGACCTAGCCATCGGTTCAGAATGATTCACACCTAAGTAATGTCGACTCTTCATGAACGGATTGCGCAACTTGGATTGCGAAGTACACCTTCATGGGCACAAATTATTCAATGGCGCTGCTTTCTGGACTTGCTGCACCGGCGCAGTTGGCGAATATTTCTCACATATCATCGCTCTCCTCGGCACACTTCGAACTTTTTGCTAGGTGGTTGCATGCATGAACCCGACCGCAGGAAGCTTCCTGGTCAACCCTCGCCTACAGCGCTGGTTCGCGACGTTCGCTATCGGCTTGCCTGGCCCTACATCGCTTCTCACAATTTACCAGGTGAAAAGAAGTACCGGCATGGCCGTGAATATCACACCCCCGGTGATAGCGTCTGGGCATTTTGTTGAATGGACAGTCGTTGAATGTATGGCCCAGTCAACAAGCCGTGGGGTGCGTAGTACACTGTACGACGACTTCTTTATTTGGCCTTACCTGGCGGGTGTGTTCAAGGCCATGTACTGGGTGGTCAAGACCACACTACCGTAGGTGTGATACACGTAATACCTGGTGTTCAACGCTACCATCACGTTCGGTGTACTTAACGCACTCACGCGTAAACAAGGGGAAACAACGACACCATCCACATTTGCCAATGGAATAAATACTACTCGTACATGTGAAGACGGGGATCAAGTTCGTCCAGGTCGGGAGCATGAAGTTTGGCTCTTATCTTGGGCTGGAATAAATGTGGTTCGTTATTTTCGCCCGTGTCACAAGCTTAATTTTTTTCAGCGGCTAACCTGAAACTCAACTATTTCTTGGGCGCATATTTTTCTTGTAGCGGACTCACACGCCGAAGCACCTCTACAGAGTCTTTAGTGCACGGAATGAACGACGAGTATTCAACATAAAACCAAAGCAACTGATCCAGGCATCAGCAGCAGCAGGCGGGGTATTTTCGTTTTGTTGGCGCCTTATTCGGACCCTTGCCTTGGTTGGATGCACGACGACAGACCATTCTGGACGGGCATTTGCAGCACTTCGACCCCGAGATTGCAGGACAATCGAGCAACATGATCAAAGCTGCGCTCGGACTCCACAATCAGGTGGGTGGGTGCCTCTGGCGCGTAAGGTGGAGCATCGACGGCGCTTCAAAGATAGGACGCATCTAATAACACTTTCAAAATAAGGTGCACAAATTTACCATTTTCATTTTCTCCTCCGGTGGCTCATTTTCGTAACCCCAGTGACGGGACAGCTAATGTACAGCTTGAATATCGCAATGCCCTGTTGGCTGTGAGCAGGTTGCTGCAAACTTCCGGAAGACAGCGACGAACTTCCACTACGAGTTCAACATCAGGCACCTGAGTAACGTGTTCCAGGGACTGCTCGTGGCACAACCAGACCAGTTTAAAACGGCGGAGAAGTTCGTGCTCCTGTGGATGCATGAGAGCGAGCGGGTCTACGGGGACAGGCTGGTAGGGCTTAAAACCCAAACAAGACCGACACGTTCCGTTAGATTCCCCACGTCGATCTTTCACGCGCCGTACGGACAATAGTGAATGCCATACAAGGTGCAGTCCGGCCAACTGCCACCGTCGGTTAACCCGTGCACTCACCCATCCCTCAAAAGATGGCCCAGATATGCAAAATAGGTAAGTTTCTACGAACCCTCTTTGACTTCGCCCTTCAAATTGCTGCGAGTGTCGCTGCTGTGGACGACCTTTGTTCTCGAGAACTCATTCACCCATCTGTTGCAGGTTTCAACGGAGGACCTGAGCAAGTACAACGCGTTAGCGCAGCAACAATCCAAGAAGCTTTTCCCATCGTTCAACATGTCCAAGTTCTATGCGGCGGAGAACGCCGACCCTCTGGTGTTCTGCCACTTCGCAGAGAACATTCAAGACCAAATATACGACCAGGTAAGCAATATATAGGATGCAACGTCAAGGCGGTTCTCGAAAGTCATAGCCCAGCGCAACTCCGTGGTACTTTCCCACAACAACCGGCAACGTGCAAAGGGCACTCTTCGCATGCTTGTGTATCGATCACACAGGTTTTGAGAACGTTCCGCTAGGTAACACGGGCACCGCCATTGTCCGACTTCTTCCCTATCTTGAAGCGGGAGCACATTCACCTGTTAAGCGTGACGGGTTGGCATATTCTGTAAGATCAGCATTTTCCCGAGCTCCTTGTTGGTGCAGGCACAATAGCACGAACGACTCTTCTATCTGGATTTCTGTAACGGCAAATAGTGGATCAAAGTCAGGGTGGTACGTAGTCGGGGTGACAAGGGATGCTTTGTTGGCAGGGCTAGTCAATACTGCTTCATCGATCGGGGCATGTCTTAACTTTACTTGTCGCGAGGAACTACACGCGTGTCTCACGGACTGCATCCTTCTCCATCATGCCATCGCGGCAATGATGTAGGTTACTTCGCTGAATTCCATGTCGGGTATCCTCGAGGATGCTCTCAGGGAGTACAACGAGACCTACGCCACCATGGACCTCGTGCTTTTCGAAGACGCCATGAAGCACGTAAGTAGGGCCTTTTTTGCTATCCTTGTCATTCTTCTACTCAAGTGGTCACTGTTGTTCTGCATCGCTGGGCTCAGCGCGTCCTACAGCCTCGGTCCTTTCCCCCCGGTGATTTTCATGTTCGAGAGATGGGACGATTTTGTGTCTTCGTCCCATTTCCGTTGGCGTTAGCACGCTGTGCTAGTTTGCCTAAGTTGCGGCACTCCGATAAGCCGGTGTTCTCCCGACGAGTCTCAAATGGAGCAGTACTTCATCCTTGAGATCCACGCGATTGCATTTTAGTTGGAAGAAAAGTGTAGAAGGATAGAATCAGTTTACTTAAAAAACGCGCTGTTGACGTTCGCCCCTCTGTCTAGTACAAGTTAAACAATGAAGGTAAAGCTCAACTTGTCAATATGTCATAGCTCTCGGACATGGTGGACAACGCGCAACAGCACCAGATATATCATTGAGCGATATTATTTGTCGACCGCACGCCCACCAGGTTGCACGCATCGTTCGCATCGTGCTCAACGACGGAGGCCATGCGCTGCTGGTGGGTGTCGGCGGGTCGGGCAAGCAGTCGTTGAGCCGTCTCGCGGCCTTTATCTGTGGATACTCCGTCAGCCAGATCGTCATTAGCTCGACGTACTCGATCAATGATCTTAAGGAGGATCTCAAGACGATGTACAACAAGGTATGTCCTGAGCGTTCGAAGCTCTTTTCTATTTTTTGGGATGGGCGACAAAAATCTCTTACGGTTCTAGGTCGACTCGTGGTCAACTTACACTATAAGGTTAGCACCAGCAGAAGTGGTGCTCGAACGCTTCGTCGAACCGAATCGAAGTAAACCCGCGTACCAGACAGGAGGTGGCTTTTGTTGGTACAAATGAGCAACGCCTGATGGACTGGTACTAACAAACGGCGCCGTTCCGCTCGATCGCCTGGCAGGCTGGAAACAAGGATGAAGGCCTCATGTTCCTGCTCACTGACAGCCAGATCACCAATGAGCGGTTCCTGATCTACATCAACGATCTGTTGGCCTCCGGCAACATCCCTGATCTGTTCGCAGTGGACGAAGTCGACTCTATTGTGAGTGATTCGGGTGGGCTGCCCTCCGGCGAGGACTGCTTTCGAGGGCCGGTGTCCGTAGATTGTATCCTGGAAGTTCTACACTCTCTCGCATCAACTCGACCCCGACACGTTTCAGTCGTGCATCCTGCTCATACATGTGCAATGCGGTACTGCTAGCGGTAATTTTCAAAGTCTTCTAGTCGAGGGGCCTTGGTAAATAAGACGCTGGTCGTTGACGACGAAGACGCGACTGACTTGTTCAATGTCGCCACTGGTTTCCAGGTAAATAACATGACGAGCAAGGTCAAGGCGGAGGGTCTCGTCCCGGACCGGAAGAACTGCTGGGAGTTCTTTATCAAGCTCATCCGGAAGAACCTGCACGTTGTGCTGGCCTTTTCTCCGGTCGGCGACGATTTCCGTAACCGTGCCAAGAAGTTCCCTGCCCTCGTTAACTGCACCGTTATTGGTGAGTGGCCGTTCTTTCCACCTTCCAGCTTGGCATCACGTAATGGTAGGTATTTTCCTAGCACGAGTGATTGGCATGCCAGACATTTTTTATCCGATAGTTCGATTCCTTTCGTTGATTTGAGGCCTTTACTGAGAGGTCCACAGAAATAACCACTGCAAAGACACGTGCTCCAATATATCCGGTAGGCGGTATATCGTCGCCAAGCATCGAGCGAAGGTGCTACTATCCACGTGAAACTTCGCCCTATTTTGTGCGCGGCAGGATTTTTCTCTACGGAGCTGACCTCGTATTGCTATCAGGAGGCAAGCGCCAGAGTGCGTGTTTGCAAAACCTTGATCGACACCTGCCCACTCACTATCCTTCAGACTGGTTCCAACCCTGGCCAAGGGATGCCCTGTTCAGCGTTGGGCGAAAATTCCTCTCGGAGATGGATCTAGGCTCTGACGGGATCCGAGCAGCGATCGAACGATTCCTACCGTTGTCTTTCAAAGTTGTCAACACCGCGGCGGAGGCCTTCAAGGCCGCAGAGCGCAGGTGAGCTATCGTCACCATATATCTCGTGGCTGTGGTTATTGTGGTTTTCTTCGCACAAGAACAATTCGTCGGCGCCATGTACCTACGTGCATGGAGAAGATCGGAGGTTTCGCGATAGCGTGATTACGGCCCCGGCATGGCCCTAATGTGTGTCATGTCGAAGCCTTAGGTGGCTCTTGATGCCAAGCACGCCACTTCTCATGGTCCGGGGACCCTAAAACGTTACTCTCGGTATTTGTCCCGCAACGTTTCGCTGTCGTCGTTGCAGGCACGTGTACACCACCCCCAAGTCTTTCCTCGAGCTCCTTAAGCTGTACAACGTTCTCCTGTCCTCGAAACGGGAGAGTCAAGACAACGCCATCGAGCGACTGACGACCGGGCTGCACAAGCTCCGCGAAACAAAGGATGCTGTGACATCTCTCGAAGAAGACCTGAAGGTAAACTTGCCTGGCTTTGATCATTTCTTGCGTTGAAGGCATCAACCGTTTGGTGCGTCCGACATACCCCTCGAAATATTATTGTTTTTGTCTTCACATACAAATATTAGTAGAGAAGAAGTGTATTCACAGTAGCTGTGATCAGGTTCCTTGGGCTACTCTCGATGAAACGCGATAAGTAAGTCCAGGGTTAAATAACCGTGGGACCGGCCCCGTCCGCCACCTTTCAGTAGCAATTGTTGTTGTCTTCACATCAAAAAAAAGTACTCGGGGCGGGGTTCGAACCCGCGACCTTCCGCGTGTGAGGCGGACATTATAACCAACTAAACCACCTGAGCACATGGCTTCCCTTGCTACACGGTCTCCTGTACACCAGATCAAACTTGAAGATGCTGAGCAGAAGAAAACTGTGGCCGAAGGAATTGCGGAAACAGTGAGCAGGGAAAAGGCTATCGTCGAGGTGGAAACAGCAAAGGCGCAGGTCCAGGCTGAACAAGTCGCCAAGACGCAAGCAGAAGTGAGTACGACGGCTGCTTTGTAGGGGCGCTTCCATCGAAACATGTAAAATGGTATATCTTTATGCCAATATGGATGGTAGAGCGTCCTTCGGGACCGCATGCCGATGCTGAGGTGTAGCCATACGAATTGTCGCTTCCCCCCACGTGCCTCCTCGATTCATGTGCACTCTAGAAAATATTGTGAACCACCTCTCGCACCCTGGTTCGTTACGTCAGGTGAGCATCAAGCAACGAGACACCGAAGCCGACCTCGCGAAAGCTGAGCCTGCCGTCGAGGCTGCTATGGCTGCCTTGGACACCCTTAACAAGAAGGTGAGGCATTCCGTACGACTTGTAAGCAGCCATGGCGAGAAGAACGACCCCCCAGCGCACTAGTTGTGCGCGCCGTTTGCTCGCTGTATGGACGTCAGTGATGTGCTTTCTCTTATAACTGTTCGTCCGATAACGCTTTGTTCTACGCTTCTTGGGTCTCGCCGTTTTCAGGATCTCGGAGAGTGTAAGACCATGGGAACGCCACCAAAGGGGGTTGACGACGTCTTCGCGGCCACCATGGTTCTGTTGGCCGGCACAAGCCCGTCTGTCATCACCACCAAGGCTGGAAAAGTCAAAGACCGGTCTTGGGACGCAGCGAAGAAGCAACTGCTCGGTGAGGTTTGGTCCTCCACCGCGCATCAACTTTTTCTTCTTTTGCCTCTAAACGCATCATTGGACCATTTTCTAGAGGAAGCCTGTACGGTTCACATTCGAAGTGCGTTGGCACGTCGTTTTTCCGGTCAGACGATAAATACGAACCCTTCCTTGTTGGGTATTTTCCATGGCCGCAACCTTCCGTAGGCGACATCGGAGGATACATCGAACTGTTGAAGGGTCTGAAGGCGGGGGTTGACGACAACACTATCCCGGCAATCTGCTGGAAAGAAATCAGGCCATTCTTGGCTCTGGAGCACTTCACCGTGGATATCATTCAATCCAAGAACTCGGCGGCTGCGGGTGTCTGCTCCTTCGTTCTCAACATCGTCATGGTGAGAAAGGCTAGATGTCGCTTTTCACCACTAACTTCGGTTTGTCTTTCTTTTTCCGCTCGTTGGAATTCTCAAATCTCACCTTGCTAGTTGTATCCACAAAAGAAAAACGCCAGGGTTCATTGACCATTGTCTTGCCAACACGCGCCCTAGGCTGCTTACTTTTCAGGTCGCATTCTTTTTCCATGCTGGTATTTGAGAGCACTTTCTCTGTTTGTGTCTTTCTCCTTCTCTTTCCCTTCTCTCCATCTGCTCTCTCTTCCTTTTCTTTTTCTCTTCCTTTTTTTCTTTTTCTTTTTTCTATATTTTTCCAATCTAGGGTACCTCGCATAGCGTGTAGAGGCGAGCGGAGTGGCCTAGACTATCTGTCGTTGACTTTTATTGGCTTGCTGACCCTTCGGGTCCATTTTATTTTCGTATGTCTTTTTTGGGCAAGTTAGCCTGTGACCATGGGAATCGACTCCGTCAAGTGTTAGACTAGACTAGTACGGACAGAAGAAGGTACTGGGCATAGAGAACGGAACGGTTTTTAGTGTGAAGACAACAACAACAACAACAACAACAACTAAGCAAGCCCCGTGCGAAGAAAGGCAACCAACTCTGTGTTCCGGTGGTAATGATCTCCCACTTCTATCAATTCCCCCGCCTACGGTCGACAGTACTACGACATCGTCGTCACCGTGGAACCCAAACGCTTGGCGCTGGCCGAGGCCAACGAACAGCTCAACGAAGCCAACTCCACGTGAGTCTCCTGGCAGAACGTCGTTCACGACGCCTGCGGCCGTCAGATATACGTGTTGGGTACACCACACCGCACATACCTGACGTGTATTTCTTCGCCATTGACCGGAGCGATGATGTCACCCCGTTGGAAGCTTCCTCACGCGTTTCTAACGGGCACTTACCGCCCATGTCACACCCCGCGTCATAGGATGAATTTTTGAACCGTATCCGGACGTTCAACCGCGCTGTTGTTTGTCATCCACGTTTCAGATTAAAGCAAGTGCAAGAACAAGTGGCGGAGTTGGAGGCAAAGCTCGCGAAGCTCACAGCCGAGTTCAATGCTGCTAACAAAGACAAGCAAGAAGTAAGCATTCTTGGCGACCTCGGGAGACGATTCGAAACATTAGGGACCTTGTAGTGTAGGAAACACGGCGGGTCGTATGTACTGAAGCCGTGAGAGCAACGAGAGGAGATTGTCCTTCTTGATTTTTTATTCTGCAATCAGGGCGGTTATCTTCTTGTGCTTAGTGGCAACGTACCATTATGTCATTAGCACTAGTTTGGTGAAGGAGACTACGCGCTGATACTCTGCTTGCGTTTTGGACAGGCGTTGGAGTCCGTGTCAAAGGGGCAGCGCAAGCTTGACCTTGCGCAGCGATTGACCGGGGCCTTGAGCTCGGAGAACGACCGTTGGGCAGAAAACGTCATCCAGCTCCGGGCTGACATGGAGCTTCTCACAGGCGATGTACTCCTAGCCGCCGCGTTTATCAGGTACACGTGCTTTCTGTGAAGAGAGCAACACGTGCAGCTACTCTTTTAGGCATGTTACTCTCTCCATCAACGTCTAACACCGCTGCCTCTCTTGGCCTGGAACTCGGCGTGGCAAAACGGCATGCATGTATCAACGTTCTACCGTTTCGATTTTACCGAGGTCTCATTGCTTGTCTACATCTCGGTGGTACTTGAAAGACAGCTTGGATTTTCAGTACTCGTCGCCCCCTGCCCGCACTTCTTCAACTCTCTCCTCCTCCGGCAGCTATGTCGGGCCGTTCACCAAGACGTTCCGCGACCAGCTCATGGGACAGGAGTTTTTGCCTTTCCTGCAAAAGGAGTTCCAGGTACATGCGCGGATACCTACCTCGAAACATTGACAACTACCATATTTTTTAGGCGTGTTTAGTGTCTAGGGGGCTTAGGGCTTCAACGATAACGAGTGTTAGCCCCTTTGCGACTGAACTCAGATCCGGTGCAATTTGACAGCTTGGAACGGAAGGCCTGACAACTGCTATAACAACAAAGGGAGGGCAACAATAAGCCAAGCATTACCTTCCATAACTGTTGGCACGAACTGCTTGCAACCTCTCTCAGGCGGCTGTAGGAGAGGAAGGGTCGCTTCCGATGTCGGCCGATCCAGACCCCATCAAGACACTCACTACGGACGCCGAGGTTGCCGGCTGGAATAGCGATGGCCTCCCGAACGATCAGGTACGTGTTGCTCGTTCGTCCCACCAAGGCAAGACATTTTCCCTGGCATCGTATAGGGCAACGATGGAGGGACGGGGCGTACGTTGCTTGTTAGGGGTCCATTACCACGGACTATGCATTCCTTTCAACGCGGAGCACTGTTGCTACTCCAAAAAGTAAAAGGGAAAGCGAAGTGTTCTCCCTTGCAGATATTGTAGAGCATACATACATGACGCTGCAGGTGGAGCACCGTAGTGTCCGCACAGATGCAAGCACCAGTAAGTTTAATAAACCCGTTCGTTTTGACGTATCACGTCGCACAACAGGTTTCTACGGAGAATGGAGCTATCGTTACCAACTCGGCCAGGTGGCCTCTCATCATTGACCCACAACTTCAGGTGAGTTTGCCACGCTCTGCCCCTTGCGGGGAGTTGAGGAGAAGGATGAGCGGCGAGGATGTTGGGAAACGTAATACAAAGCATGGAAAATATACCTAAGGCCACTGCTCCATGGCGATTGCAGCGTACCAGCCAGTCGCAGGGCAGAACTCTTCCGAACCTCACGATTTGCTGTGCTTCCACTGCTGTTTTCGTGCGCCAAAACTATGTTCTAGGCTCGACAAGCGCGGCACAGCCAATTGTGAAACAACATGTGGACCATGTGGTGAAAATAGTTGAGAGGTTTGATAGTTTGTGTCCGAATTCGTCCGGACACGACAACCTTAATCACGGTGTCCGTACAAATGCTCGCGGCCCGTCTTGTTCGCTCCGACAAATCATTCCCAGGGCATCAAATGGATCCGCACCAAGGAGGCTTCGCCAGAACGAAACTTGGAGGTTGTTCGCCTCGGTCAGCCGGATATGCTACGCAAGCTCGAAAAGGCCCTCGAGAACGGGTATGTCTACGTTAGATTACTGCCCAAGCTTGTCTGTACAGGACAAAATAGCCCATGTGTAATCCTCGTATCAGTCACCTTCGGAGACGGTCTGGTTTCCTGCCGATGGCAGCCTCCATTTCGGTTGAGGACCCTCGCGCGTGCGTGCCCGCCGTTGCTTGCAATTTTTCCGTGCTCTCCGTTGTGTCTCGCGCCACGGGTGGAGATGATGTACCCTCGAGCAGCTCGTGGCCGTCGAGACCCTCATATCGGTCACTCGTTGTTGCTCTCGCTGCCTTTCTCCGCGTCAGACACTCCATCCTGATTGAGAACTTAGGCGAGACACTAGAGGCCGTTCTCACGCCGGTGATCCAGCGTGCAGTCATCTATCGCGGCCGAAAGATGTACATCAAGCTGGGAGACTCGGAAGTCGAATTCCATCCCGACTTCAGGTGGGTAAACGAGCTTGCGCGGCCTTGTTGTCCTCTCCCTGTATCAATCTTGGTACGGAAATACGGCAAAGTCTGTCACAATCCACCACTTGCATGCCGCCACAATCTTTGCAACCTTTGGCCATGAAGCACCGATGCATCGTTTGGTCTCTCAGGATGTGCTTCAGCCACGCTCGCGGCAGGTTTCTTTCTGCAGCTAATTCGCCCTTTATGCATTGCTGGCTCGTTCCCTATCGCTTTTGACAGGTTGTTCTTGCACACAAAGCTGTCCAACCCGCATTTCCCACCAGAAATTCAGGCTGAAACCACTCTCATTAACTTCACCGTCACCATGCGGGGACTGGAAGACCAGGTGCGTCCGAATATTTGGACGATTCAAACCTCCGTCACTCAAATGCATCAAGTGAAGACGTCGTTGATTTTTGCAACACCACACGGCAAACTTGGTGCCGTGTCACTAGTCCAAAGGTGTGGCACTGACAATTTAGCTATTGTGAATCCACCCGCTTGAAGTCGACAAGGAATGCCCAAACTCGCAGAATGGGGCGTTGTTCTATAACGAGTCGGCGGACCTTGTGGCACATGTACGCGCTGGCAGTTGCTCAACCTCGTCGTCCGAAAAGAGAGGCCAGACTTGGCGGACCTCGGCGAACAGCTGGTCGAGCAGCAAAACGGGTTCAAGATCAAGATGAAAGAGCTCGAGGATAACATCCTCTACAAGCTAGCCACAGCGGAAGGTGGGGTTACTCCCGAACAGCCTTGAGCGGGCGGACCTTTCATAGCGGATAGACTCTGCACCTTTCACCCCTGTGCGCTGTATAGTACGCGTGTGGTGCAGACAGACCGGGTATTCACACAAGGCAGGCCTTAACGAAGTGCTAGGGTACTGCATAAACGGCTTGGTGCGATACTCGCCGAATGTTATGCGTGGTGTACGGGCGAAATGAAGCGTCAGCAACCGCGTGGCCTTGAAATGCATGCAGGTGACATCACGGAGGACGTCGAGCTCATAGAAGGACTGGAGGAGACGAAACGAATAGCAACTGACATCGAGGCACGGTCAGCCTTGGCGAAAGAGACGCAGGTAAGACCGCGGGTTTGCGTCTTTCCCTCGCGAAGTATTAGCACCAATCACCGACAACGTTGTTGGCGCCCGAATGAGTTGTGCGCATCGTGTTCCCGGAAGTATATGGCATCAACGCTGCAGCTTTTCACGGAACAATTGATCGCGGGTATCGTTGCTAGAGCATGCTCGTTCTCCAGCTTCAAATACGGCAAACCCACGTCGAGGTTGTTTGCGTCGAGCCGCTTTCTGACCCATCCCTTGCATATCTTGCCGGCGGGCGCAAACACCGGGGCTTAGGTCAGCATTCGGGTCACGAGCGAGAAGTACAGGCCGGTGGCGAACAGGTCGTCGCTGTTGTTCTTCCTCATGAACGACCTCGTCAAGATCCACTCCTACTATATCTATTCGCTCGCGGCTTTCACAAAGGTATGTTCACGATCGAGCGCATCCTAGACAAGATGTCGGTGAAAAAGCGGGAGCGAAGAGGAAGACAGGAAAGCAAAAACGAATTCTTGGAGGGAAGTTCTCCTTGTCCTCGCAGGGGAGTTGAAACATTGCAACCTTCCAGGGGCGCGAAGGAATATATACCAAACCCGAAATCAACAGCAAGAACATGTTACATCGCTGCCGAAAGGGATTGGTTGCCAAAAAACGCATAATTTTCGCTGGGTTAAAGCTAGACTGCCTTTCGAGGATTTGACAATAAAGAAGTACAACGCTAGCGACAAGTGATCTCGTTGCATAGCACTCACTTTTAAGTTTACGGCTCTCGGACAACCCACCACCCTCCCGCGTTGCGTCAAACTCCACAACAACATCTCTAAGCCCAGGTTTACGTGCGCTTCATACCCTCAATGGTTCTTTGTGAAATACTATGTTGCGAGAAGGTGTTTTACCAGGGCATTGATAAGGTCAGCAAGGCGGTCGATGAGCCGCCTCCACCCGACGACGACCCCTCCGTCGATGGAGAGCCAAAGGCCGAGGGCGCGGAGGGCGAAGCTGGCGGGGAGGGCGGGGGTGACGGGGCGGCCGATGCAGCCGAGGACTCGCCGACAAAGGAAGACGACGATGCGGAAGAAGAAGAAGTAGAAAAAGTGGAGATGACCGACGAGGAACTAGCAGCAAGGTGGGCCGAATCTTCTTGTGCCTGTTTCACCCCGAGGCTCTGTTGTGATTGGATCCTGCGCGTATGGAGGAATGCTCAGTCTGCCGCAAAGAACGACCAGGGTTCGGTTTTTGCTGCGCAATTTGTTTATCAAGAATCAGAGCGAGACAAGCATTTCTGTAAGGGTCTACATCTCACCCGTTCTACGGTGATAAACGCGCTTATTCGACGACGAAATATATGCACTGTTCGGGGCCCTAAGGCACAAATCCACCCTCGCGTCACGCGTTGTTTTTGTGTGTTGTTCGTCTTGTTTTTATGAATCACAGGTGTGTCATATTGGTTGACGCGGTCACGACGACAGTGTTCAACTACGTTCGGCGAGGGCTCTTTGAGCGCGACAAGCTCACCGTGGCTACCATGCTGACTCTCAAAATCTTGGTGAACGACGGTATCCTCGGCCAGGAAGAGGTCGACTACCTCGTCATGTCAAAGGTGTGAACATAAGAATGGGCGAGAGCCTTTGTCCATTATGCCCGCGTCCGAGTGCTCTCTTCAGTCCGGGCGTTTGAGTTCTTGCAAACCGAATCACCAAGAGGAATAATTGCTCTCGCAGTTCTCTATAAGGCACTTCTCTTTCGTCGAAAGTACTGAGTATGCATCATGCACGAAAGGTTGACACGTCGAATATCTGAAACACATGTGGTCCTCTCGTTGCCCGTTTGAAGTACATGTCTATGCGCTCGCTTGATTTCACGTGGGAAACACTGTCTGACTTACGCAACCTCTGGTAACACTATTTATTCGCCTCCAATCTGGGTAGGCGTCCATGGATCCAGGAAACATGGGCCCTCTAGGAGAATGGCTTCCGGAAACCATCTGGCCTAAGCTCAAGTCCTTGGAGAGGATCAAGCGCTTCCAAAATATCGGAGATGCCATGCAGTCCGACTCTGATGACTGGCAGGTGAGAGAGGACGACAGCTACATTTCCATCCTTCGAGCCGCACCAGGGTGGTTTCCTCGTGCGGAGGGATAGATTTCTTTTAGTCGCCGTCGGTGTGGTAGTGAATCGAGGCAATGAGCAATAAGTCACGCAAAAAATGGGTCTGCCCACGCAAAACATGTGTCTGCCCCTTACGGTGTGCTATGGGCCAGGCCAGTAGATGTACGTTCTTCCTCTTTTGGGGTTGACATGGCCGTTTCGCCTGTAGCATGCGATGCCAACCACTTCATCCCGAGAAAATGTGCACCCTCGCTGGTTGGTGTCGTCGCGGTGACTGTCTCTACCGTAGGCGTGGTTCGACGATGAGAAAGCCGATCAGGCCAAACTGCCCGGAGAGTTCGAAAAGTCGTTGAATGCATTCGACAGACTGATCCTGCTGAGAGCGATGCGTCCGGACCGCGTGTCCACTGCTTTGGCCAAGTGGATTGGGCAGGTAAGGATTGTCAAGGGTATCCATACAACAGCTCGTTCTAGTAGGAGGAAAGAGTGGCCAGTTGCACGGAAAGTTAAACTCACAGAGAGGGGCTTGAGTTGGAGGGGAGCTGTAGTTGTTTTGTAGCACGTGTCTGGCAATATCAGATTCGAGGCTTGAATACGGGCCAACATCTCCATTGCTCGTGTTCTCACAACGTTTCCCTGCGATATCTCTCGCTGATCTGCAGACAATGGGAACGAACTATGTCCTGCAACAGCCTTACAACATGGCGGAGACGTATATAGAGACTTCTCCTGCGACCCCCATGTTCTTCGTGCTCTTCCCCGGCGTTGACCCGACTCCATGGGTGGAAAGCCTCGCCAGAACTCTGGACATCACAACTGAGAATGGTAAGCGCGTTGCTCGGTCACACAAAACAAAGAGCAAAAAATCACGGTACGAAGCATTGGTTGGTGTGTAATAGTACCCTGCGTCGATCCATTGTTGCCGCCTGTGACTCGTCTGTGCGTCGCTGGGCTGTGGAGATGAGGGCTCTTTCTCGCCACGTTCTCGGCGCGTGATGTCGTTGTTGCACCCCAAATCCGGAGTTGCCGTCAACAACTTGCCTTTACTATTTAGAGAAACACTCACGTTCCTGCGGCAAGTGCACCAATCGGATACGGTCCTTGAGCGACGGTCGCGTATGTCTCGCAATTCCTACTCTCGTCGCCAGGAAAATTCATCAACATATCGATGGGACAAGGACAGGAGAAACCGGCGGAGGGTGTTGTTGAGAGGTACGTTTAGGGAGAGAGAAACCGCACATGAGATCTCCTCACGCATAACAACATCAAACCCTGTGCCACACGCTTGTCGTAGCTCTAGGTGGTGTGATGGACACCCAACCTACCCCCCGCTTTTTGCTACGTGCGCAGCTGTCAATTTGGCGACATAGACGTGGCTTCCATACTTTGCTGAAGACGTACGCGAGCATCTTCCCTGACGTAGTGGTTTGCAGACTTTGCCTTGACCTAGGTTGTTTTCACGAGCTGGACCCATGCAACGACGATATAACCTCGGGGCGCGTTTCGAATACTGAATATTTGCTTGCCTGCGGCCAGGTTCGCGAGGGACGGTGGGTGGGTCTTGCTTCAAAACTGTCACTTGATGCAGAGCTGGGTCCCCAGCCTAGAGCGTTTGCTTGAGATTGTGCAGCAGGGAGCACACGACACCTTCCGGTGAGCGCCGATGCCTCATCAATGTTCCACAACTGTTTCACGCCGCAACTCGTGCACGTCCCTCGGACTGATTTATTCGCGACGGCTTGGGTTCTCCTGCATAACCATGTGTACGGGATTGTGCACGAGCTAGCGAAGTCTCGGCCATCGGGAATGATTCTAAAGGTGTATTTTCTAGATATTTATGTGCTTGCTTTGGTAGGACACGCTTCGCTTGGGAAGAGTGTTAGTGTTCCTTGACCCAGTTCCTTGTCGTTCTCGCCTGTCCACTCGTCTCCCCGTGCGCCAGGTGCTTCATCTCCGCGGAGCCCCCCCCGATGGCCAGCATGAAAAACATGCCTGAGAGCCTTATGCAATCATGCATCAAGGTGAAAATGCCACTGCGCATGGCAGCCTTTCTTTAATGTGCTGATGCTCGCAACTCTCGCCTCGTACTCACATGCTGCCTGTGCGCTCCTGCTACGGAGGGGCGTCACTGCTGAGTCGTCCTCGATGTTTTACCAAACACGTGCGAAAAAAGCTGCCTTTGTGTGCATTTCATCGAGCGCACCAATGATATTCTCTCGTTCTGAGAGCGAACACCCGGATTCACCCACATGCGCCACTGCAATAACGTGTTGTTCACTCTGCCGGCTGGTACGCAAAGGTTGCGAACGAGGCTCCTGCGGACATCAAATCGAATTTGACCCGAGCGTGGGCTAACTTCAACCAGGAGAAGATCGATGGCTGCAACAAGCCGACCGAATACAAGGCGTGTCTGTTCAGCTTATGCTGGTTCCACTCCATCGTGCTAGGTAAGAGAGAATCTGCACTGCATGCAGGCCTCGACCGCCCCTCGTCGAAACTACGTCATGAACTGTAGAGAAGTAATCTGCGCCGGCCTGCGCCCGGCTTGGGACAAAACATTCGTGGACGAACGAGCAAACATGCTCCATGGTGAAGAGCTCCGATCGCACCGTATTTTGACGTGCTTCCTGGCGTGCTGCAACATTTGTCCTGCCCTTTGCAGGCCGACGAAGATTCGGGCCGCAGGGTTGGTCTCGGCCGTACTCGTTTAACACTGGCGACCTCACCATATGCGCCAATGTCCTGGGTAAGCGAAATCGCGCTCACAGCATTGTAACCCTCGAAACAAGCACGTCTTGGCCCCATCCCCACTGAAAGCTGTGTCCCCTTTCTGACAAACGAGTGTCGCCAAACCCGTCTGCCAGAGTGAGCTACTCCTCAGATGATCGTTCTCTTGCAAAATTTTCGCCGCGCTGTGTGTCACCGCCAAGCGAACACGTTCTTGACGGGGAAATCTACCCTCTAATCTACACGCAAGTTAGCTGATTGTTCTTGTAATTTTCGGTGTTAGACACCCCCGTCGAGCGCTATATTTTGCCAAAGTGGACACCAAGTGTTGTGCACGACGGCAACGTTTAAGTATCCATAGAAGCACCTCAAGTTCAGCCCGAACACCCAGCTTATATATCTACAGTAAGGATCAAATGCTATCGTATGGCATCCGTTTATACGCACGTTATGATAGCTCTTTCCGTTCTTTCTCAGGTTCATACCTGAATGACAACCCTCAAGTACCTTGGGACGATCTGCGCTACATTTTCGGAGAGATCATGTACGGTGGGCACATCACCGACCCTTGGGATCGTCGAACAAACAACGTCTACTTGGAGGTGAATTCATCGGGCGTAGTAGAGGATTATGCTATAATCGTACAGCAGTACAGCTCAACGACCAGTTTTGACAGTGGCGAGTGCACGCTGCGCGTATTTGCGAGTGTACTGGCCTTTTCGGTTTCAAACCGTGTGTGTTTGGGTAACCCTTGCCTGTGAAATGAACACACAGGTGCTCTTCACCGAGGGTCTGTTCTCCGCCATGGAGTTGGGTCCAGGCTTCAAGGCACCAGACCCGAACGTCTACGATTTCCAGGCGAGGCTTTTGCAATCTGGCGTCATTCGCGAACGGTGGCCGATAGAAAAGCAATGGCGAGATCTAGAAATACATGTATTCATTGGTTTGAAAAACGGCAAGGAGACAACGGTTGAGTCCCACCTCTCAATTGGCTCCGAAAGTAGCGGCTATGAGCAATATAGCACAGCATCCCGCAAAACTACTCTTGTTGAAGCTTTTTTTGTCGCTGACGCATCACACAACGTGCACCGCTCTGGGGATATCAACAGGGGTTCCTCGACTACACAGACAAGGAGCTACCCGCCGAAAGTCCCCCCCAGTTCGGGCTCCACCCCAACGCCGAGATCGGATACTTGACCAACAGCTGCGAAAGCCTATTCAAAGCTATTCTCAACATCGCAGGTCGGGACTCAAGTAGCCAGTGAGACTATTCTTGCCGATATGATGTATCACATCCGCTGTTTTCGTCTGCGTATACCGGGAGTTCACATCCAAACGTGTATTCTGAAGCCATGATGTATAAGTCTAGACCCAAGGTTTCGCAATGTCAAAGGTCCTAGTCGAGTACCCTCTTGACACACCACCAGCTGACTCGAGTGCAATCAACCCAAGGGGGTCCAGTAGCACTTGTGCACGTAAATGAGGGGATATGGATCACCGAAGCCACTCGGGGGCGCCTGTAGCCAGAACTTGAATACTATGTCATCGCCCACCCGGGAATGACGTATATGCATAGAGAGAGACGCTTTGGGTTGTTCGACGTATTTTTGTCGAAGTGTTTTTCTCGCAGCTTCGTGCCGGTGATGTTATCGTTGCATGAATACACAACATCATCGACGTCAGCAAACGCTTTGCTCTTCACGAACACCAGGCGCCAGCGGTGGAGGTGGTGGCAGTAGCGATTCGATCATCAAAGATACTATGGCTGATCTCCTGGAGCGGCTTCCTGACAACTTTGAGATGATCACCATGCAGCTCCGCGCCAAACCTCTGCTCGAAGGGGAGTCGGGACCGTTCGTCGTCGTGGCGTTGCAGGTACGTTTCTGGGACTCGCGATAACGTCGTCGAATTGCGTTTCGTAAGCTCGAAAAAACACCACCTGTTTGTATGGTTGCAGCGGCACTTCCGTGTGGTGTTGAACTTCTGAGCTTGTTACCAAAACCGTTCCTGTCGATACCTGAAGTGCTTCACTTCCGTGCTTCTAACTGAACCTTCCGCAGGAGTGTTCGCGCATGAACGCGCTCTTGACGGAGATCCGAAGATCGTTAGTGGAGTTAGACAAGGGCTTGAAGGGACAGCTTAACATGTCGCAGAGTATGGAGGACCTTGCAACAGCGTTTGGCCTCAACGAATGGCCAGGCCGGAACCCGTTTGCACAGGTACATGGAACCTCGGACAAAGAGAACTGAGGTCGGGTACTTAGACGATTTTCTCGCACTCGCGTTTTAATGTTGAGGACTCCTGTATAGATGCCCTCCGTCGTGACCCCTGTACGCCTGTCTATTGGCACGCTTATCTGTTGTCGATCTGCTACAAAACTTGACCGGGTGATTGAGATGTGCCTCTGACCGTTTCTTCTCCCGTGAACAAATGCTGTTTGTTTCCGCAATGGTGTGTCTCCCGTTTGCTTCCAGTGCGCGTGGGAGAAACTGGCCTGGCCTTCCAAGAAGAATTTGCTGAGCGAGTTCATAGACATGCTCAGGCGCATCGCGCAGCTTGTCGCGTGGTCGGAAGATCTAGTGACGCCGCAGTGCGTCTGGCTCCCGGGATTGTTCAACCCCACGGCCTACCTCACAGCCGTCATGCAGGTGAGCCTCCTGTCGCCCGTCTCAATTTTCCGCGCTATATCCTGACGGGGTGTTTGTCGACACACGACCAAACTGCGGCCGTTTTCGTTGTTTTGAGAGAGAGGGGCCTGTGTGAAAGAAAGCGAGAGCCCAACCCAACAGCCGAGAGCAACAAATTGAATATTTGAAATTCCACAATCTTCATCGTTTTCTCCATATAATAGGATGGGTTGTTTCGTGTTATGATCGTGACGTTCGGTTTCCGTCGTTGCTTGGACTTCCTCCTCTAGGTCACCGCTCGCAGCACCGGGTCTCCACTGGACAAGATGACGACGGAAACACACATCAGCACATTCATGGAGCCGCAAGAGGTAGACTACTATCCCCAGGACGGAGCATTTGTCAGCGGGCTCTACATTGAGGGAGCTAGGTGAGAGGTTCTTCGGAACTGCTGAAGACGCTCAAAGCAAGCGAATATAATGCAGCAAGGGACCGTCAGCATTAATTCATACGCAGGTAGAACATCCCTTTTTGTTGCGTGCGTTTCGTTCGTCCCGCAGTTGCGTCATCGACTCTAATATTGTTGTTTTCGCTCGCGTTTGTTTGCAACATGCTTTTGTGGCCTCGGGTGAAACTAAGGTGGGCAACTGGGGAGGAGGCAGGAGACCCGGAGGTGATTACCGGTACGCCGTGTGCAGGCAACCTGGTTGACAGCCGCTTGAAGGAGCTCTTGCCGGCTCTACCTGTCGTTTACGTCAAGGCAGTTCCAGTTCAGGTACGGCCGGCGTTCTTGCCCAAAGCATGTAAATCCTCATGGAATATATTTTCCACGCCTGACTGAAACGAGAGATAACTTTTGAAATGTTCCTGTGGCAAGGCGAACGTCATACCACGGTTGGTACAGCAAACGTATTGATTGGTCTACCATTCGGGTATCAGTATATATATGCTCGGCCTGGTTGTAGGTTCGTGAATGTATACGATTCGTGCCCCCTCCCTCCCACGTGCCTCCTATTCGCAGTCTTCGTGGGAGCCATCAGCCGTGGGATACATTCGCCACGATCCCAAGATTTACGAGGCACCCGTATACATCACAAGCTTCAGAGGACCCACGTATGTCTTCCTTGCAACCCTCAAGACAGAAGACCCCGTCAGCAAATGGACTCTGACGGGCACTGCGGTTCTACTGCAAACGGATGATTGAGAGCGACGTGGGAAGTTGCTTTTGGTGTGTAGACCCAAAAAATGCCTGGTGTATTTCGGGACACTGGGGGAGGTTTGGCGAGGTCGAAGTGAAGATTCGTTCGAATTTACGGGGTGCGGTGGATATCAAGGTTTGTCAGGGGTGTAAAGTATAGATGGACGTCTCGTTTTCTGAGGGCATTTGCGAGGGCGGAGATTGCGTTTTCATGCAGCTAGCAGGTCAAGATGGGCAATCCGCATTGATTTTAACACGCTACGTAATGTTGGGGCGATCGGCATGTATTCCAACATGCTTCTGATTTGTCTCCAAGTAGTATAATATGGCGATAATATCTCCAGTGGATTATTATTGGTACAGCAGTAGTATTTGGTAAGCGGAGAGCAACGTGCACGAGTTGATGGACAACGCTTATTTGCATGCAGATGTTGATTGCAAAGCTGCCGTGGTTGCGGATAGTAATAGTTATGTGTTTCTGCACTGATCGATTTTACAACAATGCTCCATGCACCACTACTCTGTGCGGTCGGTTGTGAAGCCATCGGAGCGTTCAGCTCTATCTAGACTACAGTCGTATCCTTCGTACCTGCTGTATGTACGCGAGCGACGATAATTTTATTACAAGGGCGACCAACGGCGAAGATCGACGGCAGCGCGATCGACGAAGGAGGCCCAAGGCCGCCCTACCGACCGCCCGACCGACCGACCGACCGACCCAACCCTACCCTACCCTACCTAAACCTACCCAGCCCTACCCAACGGCGACGAACGACGAAGCGACGGCGGCGCGATCGACGGCGGCGACCCAACCCCAACCCAATTCAACCCAACAGGAGATGGTCGGGTGAAGTTTCGTTTGCAGAAGGCGAGGATGATGGACGTTAAACACGACTCCGCCACGAACATGATGATTGATGTAGTATATAGAAGTGACACACAGGACCCAAGCGACCACGAAGAAGTGCGAACGAACCAGGTCGCCCGATCGACCGACCAACCCGACCGACCGACCGACCGATCGACCGACCGACCGACCGATCGACCGACCGACCCAACCCACACCATACCCCCAACCCAACCCAACCCGACCCCAAATCACAACGAAAGAACCGACCGACCACACCCACCCCACCCTACCCCGCCATAGCCCACCCAACCCAAC